GGGGCTCCTTGCTGCTGGGATGGAGGGAGTACAGTGGGCGCAGCAGGGCAGCGCTCACTGCGGTTGGCTCCTGCCAGGTCCCCGGCTGCTACGCTACCACCTGCAAGCGTGCGAGCAGCTCTTCGCCAGCGTTCTTGCCTGCCGTGGCTTACCCTCCTGGGGAGCTTCGTGTACCGGACATAGTCCTCCAGAAACAGAAGGGCACCCACGACTTCTGCAGGCATTTCAGGTACCTTCTGGCTGTAACAGAGTGGCTGGGGTCAGTTCACTGCTTGGCACATGACTGACCTCAGCTAAAACAATGAAGACTAAATGTGCCATAGATTACCAAGATGAAGTCAAAGGACAATGCCAGCCGGCTCCCTCTTGACTCTTACCAAGCTGTCCTGCACTCCCATCTTCAGGAACCCAGCCTGGAGGACAAAGCCCAAAGCATTCTCAGCTTGGCACTGTGGCCCCTGCTCTACTTAAACTCCTTCTGCCCGGCAGGTCCCCGCTTCCCTGTGCTGCCAGTCTCGGCAGCTACACAAGTTCTGCCCACTGCCCTGAATGCAAACATCTCCAAGTCCTACCTCAGACACTTCCTCCCTGAGCCCCTTCTGGAGTGCCCAGGCAGAGAACCTTCTTCTATGTTCTCCTCACACACGGGACCTTTCTCCAAGGTCTGTTTTTCTCTGCCAGCCTCCTATCTAGAATACATCTCTTTGGAAGCTTGGGTTTTGCTTTATCTTTATAAATCCAGGATCTGTGGTTGTTGTGCATCTGAGTGTCCAATTAATACAGCGTCTAACAGTTCTTCATGTGGGATCCTGCTCATGTATTCATTCAACTGTAACACCACACACTATGCTAGGGCAGGAAGCCCTCAGCTTCCCTGCAGAGGACGCACCCCTTGTTTCTACTCACAGGAATCTTTAGGGGTTAAACCTATTTGCACTTTATGTACCAACTGGTATTTTCTAATTAAGAAAGAACCTTGGGGCACTGAATCACTGACCTGTTTCTCAGATGATCTGCTTTTGCAAAGGTTGAGAGTGACTGTGCCTGGAAATGGTTTCACTCATGCCAACCCCAAGGGTTGGACCAGGGTCGGGTTTGCTCTGCTTGGAGCAAGAACAAGGCAGCTGTGTGTGTGTCTCTGTGTGCGTGTGTGTGTGTGTGTGTGTCTCTGTACACCCAGGGGTGTGTGTGTGTGTGGGGGCTCTGTACACCCAGGTTCCTTATGTTCTTCTGCACCGCTGAATCAGAAACCTTGACCTACAGCTGGGCTCCTGCTCCCTGCTGACTACTCCCAGGTTGCCAGCAACATGCTGGACACAGCCACAGTTGTACATTTTATTTTTGTTTTGTAGTGCTGGAGACTGACCCATGGTCTCTGCCCTGAGCTCCATCCTCAGACCTTTTTCATTTTATTTTGAGACAAGGTCTCCCTAAGTGGCCCGGGCGATCCTTGTACTTGCAAACCTTCTGCCTCAGCTTTCCAGAAAGCTTGGATTGTGGGCAGGCACCAGAAGCAGGGCTCTACACCTAAATCTTTACGGTCATTGGAGAGGAAAAAGAACTTGCCAGCGCCTGGCCAACAGGAGTCTGTGGCTGGGGTCACCTCCACCAATGCCAGCTGGAGCCCTCACCTGCTCTCTGGGGCTGTGTGCTGCTGGGCTTTCAGGTGCCCCTTGCTCTGCTTTCCAAAGGGCCGCATTAGACAATTCTTCCTGCAATTTCATTCTTGAGTTTCCTAACCTACTGTGATCTCTTCTATGAATCAACTGTTGAAAAATCTGCTCTCTGAGGCAAGTCTGACCATGTAGCTTAGAAAAACACCCAGTATTTGTTCCTTTCATTATCTGACATGGAAAAATAGGCCTCACTGAAGCTCATGGAATAAAGTCTCTAGGACAGACAAAGAATGCAAGCTGTATCTGCAACCTCAGCTTGGAAAGCCACATTTTATAATGGGCAACACAAACCCCTGAAGAGGTCCTCAACCGGAGCAACGTCTCTATGACTGTAGCCAGGGACAGGAGGAAAGGGCGCATCCAAAAGGCCAAGCAGTAGGTCACACCAAAAGAAGAAGTGACGTCACCAAGGGAGGAAATCGCAGGTATCTGCAATCTCAATGGAGTAAAAACTCAGTGTGGCATTTCTAGACATGCTGGTTTCTAATCGTCAGTCAAGCTGTAGCAGTGTAATGTGTGGCAGTGTATGCCCACCAAAGGGACCAGCTCTGGGCAGTGGCCTGGCAGGAGGGCCGAAAGCTTGGTGCAAATGCTGATTCAACGCTTTTCTCCTCAGGGTGGCTACTGAGTGTAGGCATGAATCATTCCTGGGAACCTGCAAGTACACACACAGGGTTCCCCCCCCTCCGATGGTGACTGAGGATGGGCCCCTCAGTGAGGGGTCCAGACAAGGAGATGCACCCTGACCTGCTACACAGAGAAGGAGAAGCAGCCACTGCCTGTCTCTGCTAGGGAGAGAAGAGGAATTTGGCAGGCAGTTAGGTCCTGCTCTGGGCGCTGAGCTCCATCTTCCCTACCTTGTACACTGCTCCACTGTGGAGCGGATAAACTGGCCGATCAGCGCCAGGAACTGCTCAGTGTACCGGGAATGAAACTGCTTCAGCAGAGTGAGCAGGCCCAGGACGAGCGGCAGCCAATCCACAGGGTCAGCAGGTTTGCGGCAGATCATCCCTGCAAGAAGGGGACACATGATAGCGCTGAGTGAAGTCCCTGCTTTGGCAGCATTTGTTAATATTTACCTCACGAATGCCAAGGGTCTGTGGTCGCATGGTCACTGGCAGGTGATTCCTGGAGGGACCGTGACTTGCGCTAGTCATGGTGGCTGGTGCAGGGATGGTCCAGCGGTGTGAGGGATGCAGAACAAGAAAGTGGCACTAACTTGTGGGAGTATCAGTCCTCTTTCTCGGACTATAAAACTAACACATGCTATCGCAGAAAACTTTAAGGAACAGATAAACGTACGTGAGAAAGTAAAGGGCACCTGCAGCTGATTTCAGTTAATGGTGGCGTGACAAACCAGGTGCCCTCTCAGCTCTACTCTCTTACATGAAAACAACTGAAATTCTGGATAAAGTATTTTTAAGAATCTTTAAACACAGATTTGAACATTATGTAAGACTCGAATCTGCCAAAGTCCAAACAGTCGAGGGAAGAAATCTACGGCGTGAGTCCGTGCCCGAGCTGGCTTCGCACTAAGAGTTTCTGCCAACATCGGGAGACTGACCTCAGCCTGGACGGCAGCACTGGAGAGAAGAGTGGAGCCCAAGCCTGCAGAGGGAAGCACACCGCGGCCAAGTGCGAAGGCTTTGTTGCCTGTTCTCAGGCTTGCTGTAATGTCACAGAATCACGATAGCAGGGGCACAGGACAAAGACACGAGTGGAACAAAACACAGAACCAAGAAATAATACCAGTCGTATACCAGTGTCTGAATTTCCACCAATATATTAAACAATTTAGTGGAAAATCTTTTCAACAAATACTACTGAAATTGGATTACTTAGGAGGGAAAAGTGAGTCTTGATCCTTGTCCACAAAACATAACTCAAGACATACCCAGACTAAAGCGTAAAGCAGAGCCACAAAGCTCTTGGAAGAATACCCAGGAGAACATCTTTGCAAGCCTGGGTGGACAGCTTTCACACCCAGGACACAGGGCGTGGGGTTCTGAGGACAGTCAGTGCGCCAATGGGGTATCATCAACATCAAAACTACCTGAGAAAGCCACACACTTTCTTAGTTGGTGAGAAAATATTCTTCTGTTGTAGTAACACGAGGAGCACTGTGGGGGAAAGTGACTCTCTGAACCTGGACACACACTCTTAGAATAGTCTTGGGTGTCCTTTAAAGTGCTTTGGACCCCTGGGTAGAGCCAGACGTGTGAGGCGCAGTGCACTGGCCAGAGCCACGCTGGGAGAAACGGCGAAGCCAGAGCCAGACGCGTGCCTGGCCCTGCCCATGCCCAGTATTCACGGGGCGCTGGGCTCGGCCTCTGTGGCAGCGATGGGCACTGTCAAATGAAAAATGGCTATACACCCTGTGAGTACTTGTTTTCTTTTTTGCGGAACCGGGGATTGAAGTCAGACCCTTGCGCTTGCCAGGGAAGCGCTTATTCCACTGAGCCATCTAGAGGCTACGTTTTTACCCCCAAAAGCTTACCAACTAGGAAGGGAAATACTTTAACAAAGAAATGCTGGGCCAGGGAGATGGCTCAGTAGAATAAGTGCTTGCCTGGCAAGCACAAGGGCCTGAGTTCAATCCCTGGTTCCGCAAAAAAAAAAAGAAATGTTCTGGCTCCTAGGCTACTTTTTAAATTAACTGACTACTACAGTGGATTTAAAAATTTCCACTTGGTTGGATACAATGCTTGGAGACACAGAAATTACTTGGGAATCTATTAAGTCATTATAAAAATGTTTCAAAATAAACTGATCAGGGCTGGAGTGACAGCTCGATGGTCTCAGTGCCAGCCTGGAAGTGCAAGGCTCTGGCTTTGATCCCTGGAACCACATGCTGCGCTGGCCAATGAAATGGTGTGGTGGTGCATGCCCGTAATCGCAGCGCTGGAGAGGCCATGACAGGAGGATCACTACGAGTCTGAGCTGTGTAGTGAGACCCAGTACCAAACGCATCAAAAGATTAAAATAAAACTGATCACTGACAGAAAACCACAGCTATATACAGGACAGATATATTAGAAGCTTTTGGCATCTATCATTTATATTAAATAGCTCACCATGCAACCACATATACATTAAAAGATACTCATACAGGTCTTAGCTCCTTTCTTAGGTGTTCTTGTTTTTGTTCTTTTCTTGTGTTTGGCCTTTTCTCCTTAACTCTGTTGCTCCTGCCTGTATTACAGCTCCTCCTACACCTACGTGGAGGCACACGGCACTTGGTGAAAGAACAGAACATTAAGGGAAAAAGCCTCTTCACACCACAACTTGCTTCTCGAACATTAAATGAGAGGAAAGGTCCCTCACACAGTGCACACGTTGAGGGACCTTAGAAAGGGGGCTTACGCTTGGCTGATTCTTACATTCACTTTTCATAGTGTACCAACGGGCGCCACACTTTAGAGGCGCAAAGCCATGGACTTCATAGACGCATTTGCCTAAGAAAAGATCTCACATTCGAGCACTATTCTACTGCGCCTGCTCCTTAACATAAAGAATAAATGTCATACAGTACCTAGATTTTTGGTGTACTGAAGTTTTGGCAACTGAGCAATCAGAAACAGAAAGTTGACAACTGGAAAGTAGGGTAAGCGTTTTGTTGTTATATAAATCTGGAAAGAGAAAGGCAAGAAAAATAGATGGTTTCTTCTCATTGTACAACACAGCAGAATATATTTTCAAACGGAGCGCTTTGAGGCATTTCAGCTTGCTCTTCAGCCTAGCTAAGATATGACTAAGCTAACTGCCCTCAGAGTCTAGTTAACAGCTCTGGCTCTGTCCGAACACAAAAGCTTACAGCCTAGTTTAGTCCTTCTGAAAAGAAATACTTTGCTGAAAAATGAGTAGCTCCTTCCCCCTGAATCTTGTTAATGCCATTAAAGGGAGCGAAAGGAGAAAGGGGCGATGACAAGAGTGGGAAGGACAACAAAGGAAGAGTAGTCAAGGGGGGCGGGTGTGCACACCTGCAGTCCCAGCACTCGGGGGCTGCGGAGGAGGTTAGGTTTGAGCTCAGTCTGGACAGCACGGAGACTACAGGAAAGCCTGTCTCAAAATAAAAACAGTTCTGAGGATTTGGCCCATTAGAAAGGCTACGGGTTCCGTCTTCAGTGGGGCAGGGCAGTAGCCAAGAAGGCGGAGCTGAAGAGAAGGGCCAAGGTGGGAGGTTAAGCGAGGAGAAGAGAAGAGGAAGACTGGGGGAGGAGGGGAAAGATGCAGGCAGTAGCCAGAGAAGGTACTCAACTAGCAAGAAAGCTGAGCTTGCCGGTGGCTTCCTTTCCCTGGCGAAGTTGCAGGGTGGCCTCACCCCAGATAACATGGGAGAAGATGTACACTGGCAGCCACCCCCAGCCTTCTGGACCTGCAAAGCCTGGGAGAACTGGCGAGCTCCCAAGGCTCGGCTGCTTGCCCATGAATGGCTCCCTGCACGGGGAGGTAGTCCAGGGCCCAGGGCCTAGGGCCTGGCAAACAAAGGGCCTGGCATAGTAAACGCTCAGTAGCTAAACACCTATCAGCTGCTGTTCAGGTCCATAACCTTTTATCCAAAACCCAAGAGAAAAGCCCAGATATGAAAACTTTTGACTTCACAGGCTTTAGAAATTACAAGACCAAAGGCATCAGTATTTCTGCGTGAAACACGTAAATGCTCATACTAAGGAGGGTAACGAATGAGTACAACCGAGTACATCAGTTCAGGGCGGGTTTTGCCCCCACTGAGATCGGGTACTGGCTTAAGGAAGAGCCCGGAGCAGCACTGCGGGACAGTGAGCACCCCTGGTGAGACAAGCACTGGTGGTGCACGGCAGCATCTTTAGGCCCCTGCAGCCTTTCAGCCGAGCCACGAGAACCCGCAGCAAAGCCCCGACTCATCTCTTCTGCTCACGCGGCACTGCCACTTCCCCATGAGCTCTGACCAGCTCCACACCTCCAGGGTCTCCCAGCCCCCAAGCGGGCGGCTGAGCGGGAGCCTGACTGACTGACAGAACGGAGCCCGACAGGATCCAGTTCCCCACCGCTTTCAGTAGTGGAGCCAGACCACCCTCTGCGCCGCACCACGTGACGCTGTCATCACTAACCTTATTCAGCGGGTTGTGGATGCCAGCTGCCTCCAGGTAGGCCGTGATCTCATACAAGAGTGTGTTGTCTTCCTTAGGGTAAGGAAGCGAAGGGTCCTGGTAGTGGGCTTCAATATCTGCCAGGAGAGCCCTAAGAGGCAGAAAAGCCAGCGGTAAATACAATGCCCAGCTGAATTTTCACAACCATTAACACAGGTCAATGACAGTCAATTTGGGGGGCTGTCTCCTCGTGTAAAGTGGGGGCTTGCTCCTTCCAAGTCCCATTTTCACATCTGTGATTGCTTTAAAGTGGAAAATTTGACCTAGCACAGCTTCATCTTTCAGGGTCCCTAAACAGATGCTTCCACCACTCAAGTGTTCAGGAACCGGCTGACCTCATCAATACCTACTTGGTCCAAACACTGATGTCCTCTCACTGTTTAGCTCTCAGGAGAAGGCTGCAAATGGTGTGGGTGCCAGGGAGGGGAGGGCATTCGTGTCCCAGCCTCTACTAGTCAGGGTTAATATACCTTCCATTGCCCTCTGGATATCAGATGAACTAGCAAGCCCTCGGGATGAGCAAACATCTGCTGAGGATTTGGGTAACTTTTCCAAGTCCACGCCGAGGACCTACTGCAGACCTACTGCAGTGTCTGGGGTGTGGGTGTGTGTATCAGGTGATCAAACTATGTTGGTAGAAAAAAGCAAATAAGAGAGAATACTTGGGATGAGGTTTATAAAGGTAAATACTTTTTTAAATCCATAGGAAGGAGGCCAAAATATTCAGAGAAGATCTCGAACAATTCAGAGAAGCCGGGGATGCAGCTCAGTGGCACAAGCACCTTCCTGGCAAGCTCAAGGCCCTGAGTTCCATTCCCAGTACAAAAAAAGAAGAAGATAAAAAGAAAAAGCAACTAAACAATTCAGACATCTCTTTGCTTAAAAGAGTAAGAAGTGAAGAGACTGGGGTGGTTGGGTAATGAACAACCCAAGCCACAGCTGGCTGTTTCACACACCACCACTTACTTATTGAGATTCTCCAGAGCGGCTGCCAGATGTTTGGAGTCAAACCGACAAGAGTAATTTAATTCATTGGCAATGTGCTGCCTCAGAATCTGCATTTGCCCAACCTGTGAACAGCAAGAGCGAGAGTGGGAGGAGATAAACATTCCAGTGCTTCCAACTGACGGTGAGCAAGCCAACAGAGCTGCCAAGGGGAGGAGCACAGCACTCTAGAGCAATGGAGGGACTTCCTGCCGACTAGGACCACATCACCTGATGGAGTGGGAGACGCCCCCTGGCCATCTGGCAGCCTGCTACAAGCCAGCTCCACGCTAAGATTTACCAAGTGATCCACTAGTGTTCAGCTGTTCAGGAACCAAAGGTATCTGTTTCCAAGCTACACTGTTTTCTTTTGGGACAAACTTGCAGGGCGAGCAGCTGTGACAAGAAGCCCTACTTCATCTCCAGTGCAAAGGACACCAATTTACCATCACAGTCTCGTCTCACGTTTGGTGAGTAGGTCAGTCCACACCACACGACTACAGGTTAGGAAATTATCCGGATGAAATATAATAGGCCTCGCTAACAGTGAGACTCTTAATCCAGAGCTCTCAATCTTTCTGTATGCCTCAAAGCCCTCTGGGGATCTGGTGGAGCCTACAAATATTATCTCAGAATAACACAAAAATAAATATGTGCCAAATAAAAGAGAAACAATGGAAGCCAAACTGTAATATAATGATCAAACTAATTATGAGAACAAATCTGTTAAAGCCTTTTCTAAAAGTGACCAAAGTAGATACATGGAGAAACACAAATATTAAATAACCTCACATACTTTTCTTTTAGGGCCAGGGATACAGCTCAGCGAGCAGTGTGACACCTACTTGGCAAGCATAAGGCTCAGAGTTTGACTGCCAGCACACACACGCACGCACACACACGCGCACACACACACGATTTTTTTTCATTTCAACCACTATTCTTACAAAACTCTTATTCCTTTATATGAAGGAAATAAAAGCCAATCCAAAAAGTACTATTTATAAATAAGACATCTTTAATTTACAGAAAAATATTATGTAACAATTAGACTCTTAATCCAGAGCTCTCCATCCTTGGTGAAAGCACTTGGGAGGTGAGGCAGGAGGATCAACACAAGCATGAGGCCAGCCTGGGCTACACAGTGAGCTCAAGGCCATCCTGAACTATACAATGAGATCTTGTCTCAAAAAAAGAAAAAAAAATTAGAATATGGCAAGACCAAGAAAATAAGTTTTTAGGGGACTCAAAAAGGCCTCTCAAACTTTGCATGTGGCCCATGTGATTCCTTATTTAACTCTTTAATGGCAAGGGTTCAGAAACATCCATCTAGAAATGGAAGTGAAAGTTAACACACCTTGTTCTCACTTAATGCTATACTGAATCTTAACATGTTCTATTTTTGCTGTTAACCCATTTCTAGATCTAATGAGCTACTAGAGACATTACACAGCCTGAGACAGATGAACACATTTTTCCCACTATCTGTCTATTTAGGGATACTGGTCTACCACTCTTTTTCCAAGATTTTTCTGGAATTGCATGTCCAGAACAACATTTAACTGACCAGTCAGTGTTGCAACAGCTGCACGTGACTGCATGGAACACTCTCATCGCTGCTCTAGACAGACACTGGCTTAGTGACTACAAGCTCCCTAACCCACAGAAAAAGACAAGTTTGCCTCTGGGGGCTTTATTAAAAGCTCACCAACTGAGACACAGTTCCTTGGTTTCTAGTGAACCACCAGCAAGTATAAATACCAGTCTAGTAGTTGGGAGAGAACCAGCTGGTAAGCCCAAAGTAAACCTCTGAGTCCTGGTGGAGAATTGCTCTGTCCCCCCAGATGCCCATAGTAGACCTGGGGTTATCTAACCACAGTGGTAATTTTCTACTTTTCTTAAAAGCTTGTACAGCAATTAGAAAACTTGGCCTAAGAAGCACATGATACGTGCAATCGGGATCTAAGGGAATGTCAGACCTATATAATAAGAGGGCATGGAGCCTGGCCACAGGCTCCTCATGTTGTCTATTGGTTGTTCAGTGATCTAAAGTAAAACACAAACATACAAAGCTAAGACCTCCACACTACGACTCCAGCTGAGACACTAGTGAGTACTGCCTATACAACTATGTAAGTGGGAACGTGACTGGGACTTGGCATTCAAAGCTTCCCACGGTATGTGACCCTTCTAACCATGAATCCTATTTTCCACCAAGGAATCTACTTTTCTACTTTATTGCTAATCATCTTTGCAATAAGACAGGCAGTGTTTCAACTGACTCTGTCACTCTGACAGTGTTTCAATTTACTCAGACTGACAATGCCTTTGTACAAAGCAGGTATTCAATAAAGTGCTGCTGTCCACCTGGAATCAGCCAACGATAAACAGGGCTGTGGACAGAGCAGAGGCTCCCTGGAGGTACAGCCATGGGGAAAGGCAGGAGACAGATGATCACACTCAGAAATGGGCTGGGCTTCCCCCAGCCAGTTAATCTTGTGGCCTTTACTCTTTGCTTCTGAAGGCATGTCTTCTACTCACAACGTACAGATCACTATGTCCCACAGAACCTGGCTACCTAATATCTACGCAACTCCTCTAGAAGATGCTTGCAGAAGACTTGGATTTGGAAAAGGAAAAACTGCCTTACTAGACCTATCTGAAGGGAACTTCTGTCTTGTGTATATGTACTCTGGCCAAAGGGATTTCAAAAAGAGCTAGTTCTACTGAGTGCAAGAGAAGGAACAGACAGGATCATAAGAAGCCCAGTCAGTAACAGGCCCTAAAAGGAAGATAAAGAACTAAATGAATTGAGAAGTAGCAACAGTACTGAAAATATTAAAACCAAGACTTTCTCCATGAACCATATCCCTGGTCCTTTAAAGTTCTTACTATGAGACGCAGTCTTTTAAGTTGCTAAGTTGTTCCGGCAGGGGCTGGACTTGTGATTCTTCTGCCTCGGCTTCCCAGAGTGCTGGGATAACAGGCATGTGCCACCATGTCTGGCTTAATATTTTTGTTTTAATGACAAAAGAAAGACAAGTAGCTTTCTTTAAGCCACTAAGTTACAAGAAAATAATAATTTAAAACTGACAGCAATTATTATCATTCCCTCTCCCACAACATACCTTCATTATAGCCTCAAGGTAAGGGGTCCAAATCTTTTGCGTTTTGGCAATGGCAGAAAGATAAATTTTATTTGAATTGGCTGAAAGATTAAAACATAATTTTCTATTTAGTAACTCAAGAAAGGCAACATTGTTATGTGCACAGCAGGCTGGTCTTCCAACACTCACCAACAATGCTTTTCAGGGGGCTGACAGCATTCATGAGTGTTTTTAAAGTGTCCTGAACAGTTCTGTCCCTCAGGATGATTTTCTGAAACATACTGAGGAAATTCTAAAAGCAAGAAGACATGATCAAGGAACCAAAGGTAATGAAGCAATGAATACATACTCTGGCTAGCTCAAGTGCTAGGCTGAAGCAACTTCACCGAAGAAAAGTCACGCAGCCTCTAAACAGAGGAAGGAGTGACTCAGGTTCCTGCCAGAAAGACCCTGTGGGGACACGTTACTGGCATCAAACACATATATATTATATATATATTTTTTGACTGAGGGTCTCGCTATGCATCTTGGGATTACAGATGTGTGCCACCATGCCTGGAACCATGCCGGCACGCATGCGGTGCTGGGGACTGAGCTCTGGTCCCTGCGCTTGTCAGGTAGGTGCTTATGCCTCTGAGCTATCTCCTCAGCCTCCTGGCTTCAACCACAAAAAGTCTTTTATTCCCAAGTTGAAACTCACAAAAGCAGTCTACCTATACCATGCTGGCCAAGGAAATTCTACTTTACGCTCAGAGGTTCTCTTCCATGAACATGCTTCACATCAGTATAACAAAGCATGAAAGAAAAGTTAAGAATTGGTCTTGGCCAAGCCTGCTCTCCTGCTGTGCAGCAACCCAGGGGCACAGAACCTGGCTCACCTGCAGCTCTTTCACAATCATGAAGCACAGAAGTCTGTCCAAGCCGTTCAGACCAAATGTCCCCAAGGTCGTCTGGATTTCTGAGAAGAGGCGGCTGCTGGTCACTTCCTGATGCGTTTTCATATCGTACCAGGTGTTGAGCTGGTCTATGTGACATGTCATTCTAAAATAAAAGCAACGCAAACCAAAAGCCCCAGTGCAGCTTAGAATTCATCCTAAAGAGGTACGGCTTTGAACAGGATTTGGGACACCACACACTCAGAACAGCAGCAACGTGACTTGTCCTTCCTAACCTCGGTGTCTTGGCATCAACAGATCTGCACACAACCACACAGGAGACCAGGGACTGGAATTTAGTTGGGCCGCTTCTCCCCACCTGAGGTGCCTTCTGGAGCAAAAATTAATATGTAAGACCCACCTTTATCTTTTGGAAAACATGGTAAGAGGCCTTCAGTAATTTAGCCCATGGATACCAGGAAAGGAAGAGTTACAGAATCTTTCAGATCATTTATTCTTTTTGGCCCATGAACCACACAAAATTCGTTATTCCTTCTGGAAATGCTGGGCACAGTTTAGCTGTAGGCTGGTGGGCCCTGATTAGACAGTGCGACAAAGGATCCAAGTCGTAAGGACATTTCCTTTACATGAACTCAACCACCCATGTGGTGGTAGACTGAGAAAGAGGAGAAGCACTTCGTCCTGGAAACTTGCACAACCCCTGGGCAGCGAGCAAGAGCCCCAGAAGACGTGCGCACACTCTTCCCACTGGCGATCTTAGAGCTCCGTCTGCAGCTCAGGGAAGAAACAGCAGAAGCAGACGGGTTCAGCTGGATTTGGAGGCAGCGTGCTACTGTCTACCCTGGGCTCTGCCTGCAGTACTGTCAAGGGCACTTTCCATTCTGCTTTTACCCAGCTGCTCTGAGTGTGGAACTCAAGTGACTCAGATGCAGACTGGATTCCCTCTGCACAAAGCTACGCAGTCTGCCCTTGCCCAGGGCAGTGCTTTGGGCCTGGGAGGCAGACTGGCTGGAAAGTACAGTATTCTGGGTCCATCACTTATTAAACAATCCTGGCCAGGTGACTCAGCTTTCCTGTGGCACAGTCACTCCATCTTTAAAATGGGAATCAGAACAATTCTTCTGTCCTGAGACAGTGGTAATGCGGAAATGTACAGACGTGGGCGAGGTGCTGAGGCTCAATATTCAGTGGCCTGTGAGCTCAACTACAAACCAAGGAAGTCATCTTAAAGGGTTAAGGTATGAGGTGACAAGTGCAAACTGCAAGGGCTGAAATGGGGAGTGTGCCGCAGTAACACCAGTTATAGATGGGACCACCCGCGGGGGTGGGGTGGGGGTAGGGAAGGGTGGGAGCCCTCAGCAGAATCTAGAGCACTTACTTTGGGTCTGTGATTCGCAAGATTTCTCTGCACAGTCGACCAATAAATGTTACGGACTCATCCACGGGTGTAAACTTTGGTATTGGAATATGAGTGGACTGGTACATACTTTGCCAGTCTTGAATCTAGAAAACAAAACCAGAAACAGTGAGTTGGATAGAGTAACCCCAGTTGTGCTTTCTTCACATAATTTTACAAATATAAAATTGCATGAAGAGTGACACATGTTCCTGACCTTAAAGAGGAAAACCTGAAACAATGACTAATATTTTCCCAGACATGTGAGGCTAACATTAAAAATCAACAACTGTGATAAAGTGAACTCAGGAGAGACCCAGAAACTTCTAAGACTTCAGCAGTGGTGCTTACAAATTTGGTGCTGTTTTAGGGCAAAGAACTTTAGTAGGTATTTTCCCAATAAGGATATACAAATGGATATTAAGCACATGAAAAGATGCTCAACATCATTAGACACTAAAGCACAAATCAAAACCACAATGAGATACCACCTCACACCTATTAGAATGGCTAAAAAGGTTGTAACAAAAAGGAAGTGGAGCCTGGTACTTTTGCTGGAAGGGACAGAAAGTGATGCTGTGGAAAACAATGAGAGGACACACCGAGAAATAGTAGGGATGCACCCAGCCCACCTGAGGAAGTGCTAGGTCATTTGACTGCTCAGTCACTTGGACTGTAGCAATGAGAGCTACACGTTTCATTCTGTAGGCACTTACTCCTGCCTGCTTTCTCCTTAGGACAGAAAGCTGAGGTCAGGCACCACAGAAATTCCTGTCACCTTGATGGCTCCTCAAGGTACTCTGACCATCTGGTGTGCACTGACTTTTACTATGTACATAAACTTGCTGGTTTCTCAGAGTTTGGGGGTGTGTGCACTTGAACAAGAGAAACAACACACAGGGCAAAGAACTTTAATACTCATTAGATACCTTTGTTCTTAAGAAGTTATTACACTCTTGCTCCACATTATAATTTATAATACGAGAGACTTCTTCCTGCCAGATCTTCAGACCATAGATGTTGACATAGTCCTGTATGTATTCAAAGGAACGATGGAATCCATCCATGGTAGCTCCCAACTCTTTCAGCTTGGGCATCAATTCACTTGGCTGTGCAAAAGGGGACATGAAATCTATTATACTGGAGTAGATCATCAAGTACTGGTACCTACAGCAGGCAACTAAGGGGCCTTGGTTGTAGCTTGAGATGTAGTTTAAGCTTTGGAAATACTCACTTCCTACTTCACGCAGGATGATTAGCAATGGACATGTGACATTCAGTAAAGAGTTTTCATATGGGAAATCTCAAAGGAATATGAAAAGTGAATATTGATAAATTTTCTCACGTCATTTGATGAACATATCTATTAGAATACTTACAATACTTTAAATTGAATTTACTGACTAAAAAAACCACACCATATAAATTTCAGACCCATTTCCTTTTCTTGATAGAAATCATTATATTTGCTAGTAGATAAAGCCAAACAAAAAGAGCCTTTACAGTTTCTCTTGAGAGTCAAAAATTCTTTTAATCATATGAAAGAAGGTTGAGCTGGGTGCAGGCATATGCCTCTAGTGCCAGTACTCTGGAGTCTGAGGCAGGAGATCACAAGTTTGAGCTAAGCTAGGCAGCTCAGAGACTCAGAGAGAACCTGTCTCAAAAAAGAACTGGGGCTATAGCTCAGGATCAAAGCACAAATACTAACAAATAAACAAATGCAAAAGAAAACAGAAACAAACTAAAACTAACACCAAAGTTAACTCTAGCCATAAATATCAGTTCAATTCTTAAAGCTGAAAATCAGCAGATGAAGAATTACAGGTTTTAAAATGACTTTCTCAAATTATGACTAGAGATTCAGAAGCACATTAAAAACAAAACAAAACGTGCATGAGTTGGTACCAAGAACCACATTAGATGTACCTGACAGGAGCAAAGGGCTGGTCACGATGCTGCCCTAGCCTAGGTTTGAGCTGAGCATATGCAGAACAGACACACTGTGCTCACTTGTACCTTGGCCCGAGGGTTGAATATCAGTCCCCGATGAAGGGCAAAGGCTACCCGCTTCACCAGCTCCTTTCTTATTCCATCCTCCAGCAACTGCTTTGGATCCACCTAAGAAAAAGCCAAAGGGTGAAACCAAAGTGAGGAAAGCCCCAGTCCTGAAGGGACTCAGAGGAAAGATGACTTCCCGAGTCTTGAGAAAAACACTTCTCTAACTTATCTCCAGGTGATCTGGACTTTTTCCTTCTCTGTCCCTATTTGATCTTAGCAGTTCAGGCAGAATTGTTAAACTCATCTAAAGTATTGAATACTATTTGTCTTTCCACATTCTGTAAGCTACTTTGCTAATTTTTCTGTAATGAGAAAGCTTTTGTTATTCTCTAAAAAAAGCTTACCAGATCCATAAAATACCAAATGTTTTAAGAGGCTCCTTTGAATTCCCTTAGGTGTGTTTCATTTATATTTAATTTGTAAAAAGCTATTCTTTTAAAAGTCATAAAGATAACTGATAGATTTCACCTGGTTTTGATTATATTTAAACTTCAAAGAAAGCAATTGCAATGAGAGTTGCAGAAAATACAAAAATTAGAGAAACAATGAACTTTATCAGAAATAGCAGTCAACAAAATCCACTCTGTAGAGAAACTAAAGGGTGAGACCCCAACTTCTTCAACAGTTCAAATGGAAAGAAAGGCAGGAGAAACATGGAATGGACTTGAGATGCATTACTTTCTTAACTAGGCAATTCTACACTAGTGTCTAGAAACTTACTCCTGGATAACAAAAAAGAGGCTGAGATGAGGCTGAGGCCCATGAGAAGGATGCAAGAGCAGGGACTATGCTTTATTTCCTAATTTACACAGTGATGGTTTCAGTGGCAATCCACTTGATTAGCTGCATCCAGGGATCAGCAAAGCACACCGTTGGGTACATCATGAGGGTGTGGCCTTGGGGTCAATATCTCGTCCCTCACCCCTGCCTCTCTAGTGCTGCTGCTCCGCTCTGCTTTCTGATCCCATAAGCTAAGCAGCTTTACTCTGTCGTGTCCTTCTGTCATGATGCTCTTGTCTTGGAGCCAGCTGACCATGGTCTGAATCTTTCGAAACCCTAAGCCAAATAAATAAACCTCTCCTCCAAATTACTTGGTCTGGTGTTAGTCTCAGCAATGGGAAGGCTGGCTAATATACACAGTGATTAGAATGGATGGTACGTATTCACCCATAAGAACCCATTAAATTTCATTCATACTTGGATAACTTTCAGTATATGTGTCTAATTTTACAATAAAAAGCTGATCATAAAGATTCATAATGAGCCCGCGGCTCAGGTGCCAACAGGAGGTCTGACCATGTCCTGGCACCAATGGCTTGTCAGGTGCCAGGGTGGTTCAGTGGGGCAGCTCCACAGGGCAGCGGTGCTGCAGGAGCCACAGCCTGTGGGTTAGGGTACAGAACATCATCTTTGGGGAAGTCAGCAACTACATCTCTGAACCAGATCCAATACATAATTTCTGATAACTGTGGGATTTTCTCAAAAATATCCTGTTTTTACTGTACAATGACAGAAAGATTTTCTACAACATGAATGTTACTTATAAAGTGGTGGAACTGGACTTTTTTTTTTTTTTTTTAAAGGGAATGGTCTACAGGGTGTTCAGGGTCTCACTACTAGATCAGACTTGTAGTGATTCTCCTGTTTACAGCCTCCCAAGAGCTGGGATTACAGGCGCGTACCAGCATGCTCAGTCTCCATTGCCTTCTTAGCGTGCCTTGGGGGTGGGGCCGGCATGGCAAGCCCAGGGATTAAACCCCTGGCCTCTGCGCCTGCTTGCAGGCACTTTAATCCACTGAGCTATTTGGCTGGCCCTGGACATACTTGAATATGGCAGCCAGCTTCAAGATGCTCTTTAAAAATGGTGAAAAAAACTGTTGCAAGAATATTTGTCAATGGAACTTTTATTGGAGGTGTAACCAGCACTCCCAGTTTCACAAGGAAGGGAAACTACTCCCACTAGTTCATCAGTGTTACTTAAAAAGAAAAGAGGAAAGAATTTCAGTGACTTAGATACTATGACTAGTAAATGCCAGTTAAAGCGATGACACCTGATAATGTCTTTGAAATGATGTTGACATAAATATGTGAATTATCTTCATGACAATTAAAAATAATGAACAGTAAACTGCTTCAGAAACTTACAAAAAAAGATTCATAACCAGCGACAACAAAATCAAAGAAGTTCAAGGAAGTATTCCTTTAAGAATAGATTTAGGGGGTAGGTAGTGGGGGTGCAGTTCAATAGTAGACTACATGCTCAGCAGGTGTGACGTTCTGGGTCCAATCTCCACCACATGAGTATGTACACCAAAAGCACAGATTGAGGGGAATAGAATTCAATGTGTTCATGAATATAAGGATCTTATGCGGCTCTTTCAATTCTTCCTGGATTTGCAATACTCTATGGAGATGCTCATAGGTAAGGGAGTCTTCACATAACTCCCTCTTCATATTTCTTGCCCTCCTATTAAGTCTAAGTTTCACATGCATCTTGCAGATATTTTTCTACACACATACACAATGGTCTCATTTAGATTTTTGTAATTAAATATGTGTATTTCAGGATGAATATGTATGAAATCGTGTGTGTGTGTGTGTGCATGCGCGTGCATGTATGTTACCATCACTGGGTCAAACCATTAGGCACCTACACCTTAAGGAGGACAGGTTATTCTGGCTCCCAATTTCAGTCCACGGTTGGCTGGTTCCCAGGCAGAGGTCGCACGGTGGAAGGGCCTGGCAGAGGAAAGCTACTTATCACAGCTCAGCAACAGGAAGAGGAGGTGCAAGGGCAAGAACACATCCCTCCAGATCATGCTACCAGGGCCCCACCGCTGTCAGGTCCTCCTCCTAACAGCACGCAGCTCAGAACTCATCAGTGATTAATACCTATGTTGGCCTACAATTTATTGTTTCCATTTCCTATCTTGTAAACTTGACAGTGGCAAATCCTTTTTAAATGATTGTATAGCAATCATGGATGCATCATGATGTGTAGTCTTTTCTCCACTGATGGATATTTAGATTTCTTTCTTTCTTTCGACTGCCTCTACCAATGAGCTTTTATATCTTACTTGTTTTAGGTCTTATGGACCAAAGGGTATCTATACTTCTTATATATTTTTGAAGTATATCCTTAATTATTTGGAGGTTAAAGTTTCGTGAGGGTCAAAGGATGTCTCCTAAGATTACTCTTTAAAACCGGCAATGCCTTTCTCAAATATTTTCTACATAAAAAGAAAGGCATTAGTAGCTTAGTTTGATATCTACTGCATCTGAAATAGATGTTGGATGCTTTCTTCCTTGTTGAGGGAAAGAAAAATGCAAACATCTTTTTCATGTTAGGTGAACAGTGAGCTTTGCTGGACCCATGATTCTGTAAGCAGAGTACGAGTGGAATTTCAGCTAACCTGGCTTTCATACCTGGATCTCCACTTTTCCCTGTCTAGCTCAGACACTCCTTGCATGGAGTGTGTAGTTTATATAAGCCCAAACTGTCAGCCTGAAAGGTAACAACGCTGCCTATTTTGAAACATGTCTGTGAGGGGAAATTAATTAATAATGAATATGTGCTTCATGCCTAATCCTTAGTAACCTCCCAGTAAGCTTAGGTCTTCTTTCTCATCCACCAGATTTTTGGTAAACATCTCGTTTTTATAATAATTTATTCATAGAATTTTTCTCATTCCTTGTTCAACTAGAATCTTTGCATATTGACTTTTTAAATGCAATCTCTTAATAAGAAATTGAAATGGTGAAACTGAATTATAAATCTAATGAGAAAGAAAATAAATAAAATCAATGCCAATAAAAACAAACAAACCAAAAAACCCAACAGGCAGAGCCTATTTTATGGGGTCAGTAAACATATCTCTTCTACCAGAAAATTCAGATCATTTCTAGTTAGCTTAATTTCCTGGATGTTATTAACATAACAGTAATCTGGCAGTTTCGCAGCTAAAAAGTTTTACAAAAATCAGAAATGATCAGATTCTATTAGTGTCAGATCAATGAAAATATAAAAAAAGTACCATGAACTATGCACCTATCACTAGTCATCACAGGATTTTAGATTAAAGTATCAGTGAATCCTACTTTATACCCATAGGATGACAAAACTTTGAAAGCAGGACTTGCATGCATGAGTGATGACAATGCTCTGGTAACAGCGGGGACAATTATCTTAGCTGTCTGAACCTTGGGTGTAAATAAAAATACCCAAAGGGGGACGATGAGATGGCTCATTAGAATAAGCGCTTGCCTGGCAAGTGCAAGAGCCTGAGTTCAACCCCCAGTTCCCCCAAAAAAAAAAAAATATATATATATATATATATATATTCGAAGGAAGAGAGAGAGAATCAGGGATGGGGGAAGTAATACGGACTCAGGAAATCAAGGCATTTTGCTTTCTTTACTATTACAGAAGTTCAGTGAAATAAAATTTTCTTAGATTTTAATAATTCTTGGGTAAAATGGTTACTAATACCACAAATTTTCTTGAGGGACCACACGATAAAGAAATCCCAAGATTATACCATGAGAATGTTTTCAAGTACCATGAACAATACAGGTTATACTCCTCTCTTCCTTTACCCATCAATAAAACAAAAATCAGAATGTGAAGCAAAAAGGTAACATCATTTCCTGCTCTGCCATGCTGGAGAAATGAAAGCCATTAACCACAAGGCCAGAGACTAGCACCCAAACTGTACCTTGATGATGCCAACCAAAGTTGTTTTCATCATTAAGATGCCTTCGGTGAAAATGGAAATAGCGTGAGTAAGCTTGGCAACCTTTAAGAAAGAAAAAGAGGAACACTGAGGGACCACAGAGAAAAGACTCATCGCTTGTGAGGAAAGCTAGGTAACTGGTGAAGTCTTAGCATGAATGATGCCAACAGGAATGATTATGTGGATTTAACAAGGTCACCAGTGTCCACGTGCCTTGGACAGAAGTAAGTCTTTGCGTTGTTAAGGAGAGAGCACTGTGAGATATACTGGGCAGCAGGCAGGAGGTCTTCATCTGTTCTTCAACCTTGGACCAAGCATTTCCCTGCCTCAGACTTTAGTAACATTTAGGAAGCATGGTTGCAGTTGCTGCCAGCTGGAAAGGACTGTGACTCTGTGAGGGACTCTGCCCTCCACATAGCCCCACATTCCCTTTTTAAAAATTTATGTACGTATGTATGTATGTATGTATGTATGTATGTATGTATGTATTTGGTACAAGCTCTTACTACGCAGCTCAGACTCATAGTGATCTTCCTGTCTCAGCCTCCCCAGTGCTGGGATTACACGGTGTGCCCAGCGTTCCCAGACTGGCACAGCACATGGCACCAGGGATCAAACCTGGGTTCTTGCACTTGCCAGGCAGGCGCTTAGGCCGCTGAGCTATCTCCCAGCCACCCCGCTTTCTTTTAAGCAACACCAGGAGACACATAAGGTAGGCAGATGCTGTTATTGTTAAGTGGGAACAAACATGAAATAACTGCTTCATCATATAAATTCCTGATGTATGTTTTGAAGCTGTATCAGGGAATGGGAAGCTGACACCGGACATTATATTTTCAATTTTCACTTGACTTCTCACATCTTTAAATTTCAAGTTCAGGGAGGAAGAAAGTACTAGTGTTTGGTGAGAAACAAGCTCTGAATTTGTTTAACTTTCAGACGGGCTTAAAAGTCTTATTATAGGCAATGGCTAATGGATGCACGTTATTTTGAGCCACTGGTTTGGCATAAAAACTGGCTAAAATTTATTTTTTCATTTTACGATGCTGCAAAGGTATGCCCACATACTCTGTTGTTCACTTTCAGTAAGTAGGTAACAAATCCCACGAGCTACCCAATTCTTTTATTATAAAATAGGTTTTGTGCTAGATGGTTTTGTATCTCAGGCTACCGTAAGCATCCTGAGCATGTTTAGGGTAGGCAGAGAAAGCTACAGTGTTCAGAGGTTAGGCGCCTTAACTATACTACAACCTAGGGTGAATGAAACAGTCAACCGTGGCTGCCACTGAGAATAAGAAAACAAACTGGAATTGGTCTGGTGGTCCCCAGGAGATGGCAGGCAATTCTGTCTGTCGTAATTCATGGTTTTTAGTTTTCAATAACAAAAGGCAGAGTCAAAGGGATGGAGCACCTCGTATCGGGGGCCCAGCTGAGCATAGTCCCTCAGCTTGTCTTTGTCCAGGCGGGTAGGCACTTCAATGATATCGTGGGTCTGCAGCTTGATGATTTTCAGAAGAGATGTAAACATGCTTTCTGGGATGATCTGCAGCACCTTCAGTGGCAGGGAAAGGGGGAGACACAATAGAACTTCTTTATTTATAGCTGACAAATAGCTGGACAAATGGCAGTATTAGGGACCAGTGTGTACAAAGAGTGGTTTGTCTACATGCAAAGATGGCAAAAAGTTTAACACTAACTGTTCACAGATTATAAAGCCATTTCTTTTACAGTGCTAGAAGAAGAGGTACACTCCTATGCTGGGGTTCAAAGATGTCAAAGAACATCACGTGCGTGTACTCAGCTAGAATGTGGCAGATTAATTCTAAATTCCTGTCTGGCTTCTTGCCCCATCAGAGTTATGGAAACAAGGACTGAAATGCCCATGAAACTTGAAACAGGTTCTGAGGAGAATACGTTGGTGCTGGTTCTGACTCCTTTTTTGGTGGAACCAGGGATTGAACTCAGACCCCTGCACTCGCCAGGGAAGCACTTATCCTACTGAGCCATGTCCCCAGCCCCACAGTTCTGACCCTTGTGCCAACTGGCTCTAGAATTGGAAGAAGCTACTATAGCCTTTCTCGGTTTCTGTACCTATAAAATGGAAGTTAATACTACCGTTCGAACAGTAGGTGTAGTCATTTGAAGGTAAAAATACATCTGCATGTCCACAGTGGCAGTAAAAATGTTTATTTTCCGGTATAAAAATTTCTGGAGGACCAGGGAGATAGCTCAGTGGCGTAAGCACATGACTAGAAAGCACAAGGTCCTGAGTTTGATCCCCTCTAACCACCCCTCAAAAACATCTGGAACAAATTCTTTTTTTTTTTTTTTTTATTTTAGGGAGGGGTCTACAGGGTGTTCAGGGTCTCACTACTTGATCCGACTCATAGTGATTCTCCTGTTTACAGCCCCCCAAGTGCTGGGATTACATGCATGTGTCACCACACCCAGTCTCAGCTGCTATCTCAGCTCGCCCCGGGGGCGGGGCCGGCATGGCAGGCCTGGGAATCAAACACCAGGCCCCTGCGCCTGCTTGCACATGCTTTAATCCGCTGAGCTATTTGGCCGGCCCTTGGAACCAAATTTTTGTTTTGGAACTAGGGATTGAACTCAGGCCCTTGTGCTTGCCAGGGAAGCATGGACCCAAATTTTGAAAGCGAAAGAAATACAAATGTCCTTTCTACAGGGCCCAAGTGTGCCTTTTTGTTTAAGACAGCTGTTCGTCAATGAAAGCCCTCTTGCTGCTCGGCCTACCTTTCTCACATAGGACACCAGTTCACCAGAGTAATACTGAGACACGCTGAGAAGATCAGGGCTGTTTGCTTGATTAATACGAAGAAGGGGCAGGTCCAGCGCAGAGGCAAGCTACAAGGAAAGTAACGTATCTGTGTGTTGAATTCCAGGAAGTCCCAGAACTCTCTTTCCAGAAAACAAAATATACAACAAAGTACTTGGAATTTACTCAACAAGAGACTGCAACCATGAAACCTCATCAGTATCACAGTTTGTAACAGTACAATCTTAGGAACAGCGCAGACACCTAAGATGATGGTGGCTCTTGGGGTGAGGTCCCTGGGCCGACAGGAGCAGCATCTGTGACTGTGTCAGCCATGCCCCACCCAGAGGATGGAGTCAGAAGCCGGGGGCGGGGCCTGCAGCCTGTGACAAGCCCTTCCAGTCAGGCTGATGTCTGAGAGCCGTGTGCTACAGGAGAAAACGACTCCTTGAGTGGGGAAAATCCGACATCCTGATTGCTGAACTGTGGGCTCTTCTAATTTGAGAAGCTATGAAGTATAAGAAGGGCCACGCAGAAAGGGAGGAAACAGGGACAGCCACACTGTGCTACAGCATCAATCACGAAATCCACTTACAAGTACAGAGGCGACACAGTATGAACAAAGGTGCGCTTTGAACTTCACAGGTCTGGTGACTGTGAGAAGATACTGAGTAAAGTACTGTGCGCTTACCACGCACTGAAATTACCTGGAGAGGAAGGCCCTGCCTGTATTGTTTGCCAGCATTTCTTAACCTTTAGAGCACATACTATAGGAGAGGCTGGACTAAAAGTTTCTAAAAAGTTAGTTTGCCTAGCATGCATGAGGTCCTGGATTTGATCCTGAGCACAGGCAAAAAAAAAAAAAAAAAAGATTCAATTCATGTTTAGGGAATAAAGGAGCCAGAGATATTTTTGGTATATTAATAAAACTTAATTTTAAAAAATCGATATATTCATTTAAAAATAATGTTCTGTATATTGTGAATTTTTACATTTTGGAGGTACTAGGGATTGAACTCAAGGACTTTGTACTGAGCTACATCCCCATCCCTTTTAATTTTATTTATTTATTTGTATGTATGTATGCAGGACAGGGTCTATAGGGTCTCACTACATAGATCTGACTCATAGCGATCCTCCTGTCTTCAGCCTCCCATGTGCTGGGATTATAGGTACACACCACCATGCCCAGTCACAATCCCTTTTCATTTTTATGCTGAGGTAAGAGCTCACTTAGTTGCTAAATTGCCCAGGTCGGACTTGAAGTTGCTATCCTCCTGCCTCCACCTCCCAGAAGGCTGGGATTACAGGCATGTCACTCCACACCTGGCTATTGGCATCTTTTGAACCCCTAGTGTCGCAGAAAAACTGCTGACAACTTTCAGTCCATAAAAATACTTAAATTATCAAATTTCCTGGAAGGATGAAATCTGGGCCTGATAGATGAATGACACACGTATGAAGGCCAATTTTCTCCTTGTAACAGAAAATCGATCTCACCGTTGTTTGCTCACCTTCAGGAATGTAGCTCTGAGTTTAGTAACCATGGATGGGTTGACCCTTATGCTTTCTTGCATGATGGATGTGAAACTGTAAAAAGAAATAAGGTCTAAGAAGATGTTCTGGGTGGCCTTCAACAAGGGTAAAGTCCGCACTTTCACCATTACCTGTCAATCAACTGCCAAGCAAAGGAGAGGTCGCCAACGATCTGCATTGTGATCAGGACTTCCTCTTTAATGTTAATTGTCCTGATCATTTGGTGGAGAAACTTCCGGGTATCAGCAAGAAACTGACACACTTGCAGATTTGACTCCAACTGGTGAAATTCCTGAACCTGTGTTATATAAAAACATCTGATTTAAAGAATTCCGAGCGGCCACAATGACGTTCATTTTTCTTTGAAAAACACTTCAAGTAAAGTACATGGCTATCTCTTTATAAAATTTTTAATCCAAATTATAATTTTACAAATATATAAGCCAAGTCATAAAGTGCACACATTTTTAGGATTATTTTATACACACTGCTACAAGTGAATAGTCCCATTTTTCATTCTATTACAAATAAATACATATGGGAAAATCTTACTTCAGAAGATAGGCATCATTGCTAAAAGAAAAAAATTCACTTCAGGGGCTGGGGCGTGGCTCAAGGGTAAAGCTCTTGCGCAGTATGTGTAAGGCGCTGGGTTCCATCCTGGCACAATACACACATATACACACATGCAAGTTCTATCACAATCATTGTGCTGGTGTTTGCACATGATTGAGGTTTTCTGGTTAGTCTTTAATGTCAAATAGTGCTTCAATAATGTTCTGAACTTTTCACGCCTGTAACCGAAGAGGCCTGGGCTACATGTCAAAATAAAGCAAAAGCTGGAAAGTATTAGAGACTAACAAAACTGTTGGTGCTTGTGTAACAGACTAGAAAATTACCCAAAGATGTAAAACATTGTGATTATGTAACTATTCTGGAATGAGAAACTGTGACACATTAATATGGGGCATCAGACAGTGCTGTCGCTTACAGAGATCATCCTAAAAACCTCCAAGAAATAACAAGAGCCTGGAAGAAATTCTGCCAGATGAGAAAGCACTCACTGTATGTTTAACATGTACAGTTAATCCAACTGGCTAGGGTTACAGATGATATTTTAAGTAAAGTCCACAGTTGTTGTTCTTATGCTAGCCTTTCATTGTAAGCCCATTTAAAAACAAAATCGCAAATTTTAGCTCAGTCTGGCACCACATGTATGTCATCCCAGTACTTGGGAAGCTGAGGCAGGAGGATCACCGGAAGTTCAGGGCCAGCGTGGGCTATGTAGTGAGACCCTGTCTTGAAAAGACAAAAAGAATGGCAAGATCTAATCATTGTTTTGGGTACCATCATTTTCAGTAGATGAAAAAATAAACTAGTTTTTCAGAAAAGCATATGATACCTGGACAAATATTTTCACTTTTGTGTATTTATTTCTAGCTTTTACATATACTTTACCACTGATTTTCTAATGTTCCTATACTGTTTTCATGTTTCTTTCCTAAGACATTTCCTCAGGTTGAAATACCATGTTCCTCTGCCGTCAGTCTATTGGTGCTGGTCACCTGCGTACCTGTCCAATTTTAGGACACTACTATCGTAGTACAGGGAGTATATTAATGTGCACTGCTTCTGCTTCTGGTGAAATTCTTAGATATATTTTTTAGGAGCAAACTATTAGAGGTACGAAGGTACGCTTCATGATCCAAAGCTAAGTTACAAAGACTTTCCTTACCTCCTCCAAAGCCTGTATTAGTTGCACAGTTTTTCTGCCTGCAGCAGTGGAATCATCATAATTTAAAGACAGTATTTGTTTTGAGATCTCTCTGAACCAAGCTTGAAGATTTTCTATTAACAAAGAAACAAGGAAAAACTGAAATCCAGAGTTCCTATAGCTGCGGCTTTGAGTTTAAATTAAGTCATCGCTTATAAATCAGTTCTCATTCACAGAATTCTTACTATGTACCCAACATTGCTTCTAGGAATTTCCCAAACCACAATAAAAATGTCTGGACATGAGCCTTCACAGGACAGATTAAACTTTCTACATAAATAACTTAGTCTACAATTCTTGGCAGAAAAGGCTCAGAGGCCCGTGTGGGCACTGTAACCCACAGGGACAAGGATGAAGTAGCCAGGGAGAGGCATCAGAAATGATGGGTGATAGCTATGGGAAAGTGCTCTGCAGACGAAGAGATGGCAGAGGAGAGGAGGGCGCTCATCCAAAAGGAAGCGTCTGGCAAGGACGACGGTGGTCAGATTTCCCGTGAAGGTCAACGTGGAACCTAACCCTTGAATTTGATTTGGTTCTCATCCAATTCAGTTTGTGACCAGAATCATAGAAAGAATTAAGTTTGTGAACTGAGCCATCATTGTACGTGTTTATTCCATAGGTTGTAAGGATGAAATGAAAAAAAAAAAGGCAGAAGTATGTCTTAAGCTAAAATAAACCGTATAGTCAAAAAAAAAAAAAAAAAAAAAAGGGGGTAAAATAGATACACAAATGATCTGAAACAAGGCTGGTACTTATGGAAACCTGAGAGAGACAACAGAGAGTTATGAGCTTGATTCTACACTAATCTGGTCAGATGGAATAGATGGTTCTAGCTTCATCCTTTTTCATCACAATATGGTGACTTGTAAAACAGGATGCTAACTTATATCACACTGCTATAAATTGAGTTTTAAAAAAAAATGTATTTGGTACAGGGTCTCACTATGCAGCTTGAACTCATAGTGATCCTCCTGTTTTCAGCCTCCCCAGCGCTGGCGTTACAGGTGTGCGTACCACGCTCAGTCTTGGTAGCCAGCTCCGTGCACCTGGGGGCAGGGCCAGCATTGCATGGGATGCCGGGACTGAATCCCAGTTGCTGAGCTTGCCAAAGCAGGCCCCCAGTCTGCTGAGCTATTTCATCGGCCCTAACTGGCTGATTTTTAAATTCAGACTACTAGTAAGTATACTTTGGGAGCATATCTTAGACGAACTAAAAAAACATCAAATAAATTCACAAAAACCAAGATAAAATAATCATAAGCTCTTATTGATTAAAAAAGTTCATTTCTTTTTATAAAAAGCTGTACTATGAAGTAATTCTACTATATAATTAACCTCACTGGAAAAGATCTGAGAGTCAAGACAAATACTAAGCATTTCAAAGTTTGTCATCTTAAAATTCAAAATGTCCTATCAGAGCCATTTGAAAAGTTCTTATTTATGAAAATTTGAAATAGTGCCATAATTTCCTATAGATTTCCTAAAACAAGCAGGAGGAAAGCCATTACAGAAGCCAGATGTGGGAGCACAGACCTGTAATCCCAGTACTTAAGAGGCTGAGGCAGGAGGATTGCTGTGAGTCCAAGACCAGCCTGGGCTACAAAGTGAGCTCAACGCCAGCCTGAACTGCATTGTGAGATCCTATTTCAAGAAAAAAAAATTATTAAAGTAACGATCCCGTTCTGCAGTCTACAGGCTCCCTGTCCTGCCACTGGACGGCAGGTGCACAGGACAAGAACCCGGTGAGGTGAGACTCTTACATATGATCTGTGTTGACCGTTATCAATATTCCCAGATAACAAAGTCCTCTGAAAAGACCACGAGAACTACACACCCTTTTTCGCTTCCCCTAAATAGACATAAACTGACACATGAGTCGTGCATAGTGTGGGCTTGGGGCAGAGTTTTAAGAACAAGAATTTTTAAGAACTCCTGGTTTGGCCTAACCTCAGATTTCAAAGCTAGGTGAAAAATCCCTAAATCCAGGCCGGATTCACATCGTGCCCCAGACGGCGCAAGGCTCAAGGCAGTCCGAGGTGGGCGGCAGCTCTTCTGTCAGTACGGCCACAGAAAGACGATACAGGTGGACAAGGAGGAATACATAAAGCCTTTTTGCTTGGCTAGCTTCTCGCGTTTCAAACGATCTGGGTAAATACGGCACCTCAAATGCATCAGTATGTCTCCTCAGCACTTACCATTTTTCTCTACTCTGGTGAGGGGTTTCACTCCTGAAAAGACATCGGCAAGCTCCGTCATCCGCTCCGAGCCCTCCTTCTTGTAATGCTCCCATTTGGCCTGCTTCTCGGAAAGCATCTGTTTGAACATCTGCTGAGGAGAACGAAAAGACTGAAGAGAAAATCCTGATCCTGCAATTGACAGAAGAATCCCTGAATAAAACCCAGTTTTTAAATAAAAATATTAAAAAATGAATGCTGGCCCACTCCTGTGTTACACAAATTGATGGGCAAAGGGACAGCACCTCTGACCAGCTGCAAAAGGCACAACCCACAGCGCTTGGAAGTCTTCAGGTCCCCATGCCTGACCACTAAAATTTGGTGTAGGTTTTGGTAGGGCCAGGAAACACTGCAGCAGTGTGAGGTTAACTTTCTGACAGGAGTCACAAATTGGCTTTTCAAGGTCACAATTCCTCCAATACCCACTTAAGGTTTAGGTATTATCCTGCCAGATTACAGGGGTATGTATAAAATTATCAAGAATGTTTCCTTCCACTTAAGATTACACAGATGGTTTAATTCACTCCTTTATAAAACTTAAACTTTATCATGGGTAGAGAAGAAAATTGTATAATTCAGTTTATTTTCTTTCTTGCAACAAATTTTAAAAACATATATATTCTCCCTACAGGACGTGCTGACAAAGGTTTAGGATTTATCCCAATGTGCTCTTATGAGATACCTATACATGAATATTGATTTTTTTCCTCAGGAAATTTTTCATTTGTTAGTACTGTAATGAAACTGAAAAGATGCCAAAAGGGTAGGGAGTCTCCAGCTGTAGATGTGTGAATCAGTGCTGCATGAGGTGTGGCATCTGAGGAGAAGGAGCCTTGAGCTGGGCAGGACCATTAAGCAATGAAAAGAGAAGGAGGAGGATGAGGAATGCAGGTTTCATTTTTTCTGTTTGTTTCTTTTTGAGATAATGTAGCTCAGGCTAATGATGCAGCTCAGGCTGGCCCTGAACTGCGTAACCCAGTCTGGCCCTGAACTCATGGTGATCCTCCTGCTTCAGTCTCTCCAGTGCTGGGATTACAGGTATATGCCACCACACATGGCTCACATTTCCTATGTTTTAAGATAGAATTTGGGAGGGAGGATGGTCCTTGAACTAGGAAATGAAATCATATACAGTTAAGAAGAGATACAGGTCTAATTCTGTTTACAGAAGAGTCAGAAAGTGATCCTACACAGGTTGCAGAGGGAGGTATAAGAAAGGAAAATACAGGTTAAATAACCAAACTGAAATGTCAGGAATTCAAATTTGTTATTTCTGTGTCTGATTTTTTTTTTTTTTTTTGGGCAGGGGCAGCTCAGCCCGCCCTGAGGTGTAGCGTTATGGTGCTGGGATCAAATCATGGTCCTGTCATGACAGGCTGTGCCCAAAGGCTGTCTTATATCCTCTCTGCCTAAGGAGACAGAAGGAGGCTGCTCACACTGCTTTGGTAGAGTGCAGAGAACAGGGTGAGTGTTGGCACTCAGGTGGCTCAGACCTACCCCAATTTGGTTAACACCACTGAATTAACTTACAGGGAACTGGATCATTATGCTATGGTTCTGGATTCTAGCGGCCCAGGGGCGTTCTGTGGGGCAGCTCTCCTGCCATGCGTGACACCTGCTCCTGGCCTATCCGCTATTTTCTTCATTCTTCCTGGATGGCAGAGACATGACCTGATCTTTAAAAAACCCCTAATACCTCACTGGCAATAGAGTAGGTATTCTATACTCGTTAGTTAAAAAGAAAACATTAAAATTACTAAATAAATCATTACAGGAAAAACCACTGAAAGCATTTAGCGTACACATGAGCACTGTGTTAATAACCAGCACCTACTTTTTCTGGGCTACTGAGGGAACAGACTACCCTCACATGCCTTGAGGGTAAAGCAGCACCTAGTATGTCTCTGTCAGACTGAAACAAAGTGAGGAATGGCTCTGAGTGGGCATCAACATGTGGGGCTAGTTCCTGAGCCACCTAATCTAAATGCCCGAGGTACTAGTTATAAAAGCTAGGCACGCTGAGGTATCCTTCAGTTTTACTTTGCCCAGGGATTCTTTAGGGTAAGACTAACCTCAGCATTTCCCTTAGTAAGCTCAAATTCCTTAACGTCCTCAAGGCCACCTTGCCAACCCTACTCAACCCTCTTCCAATAGGTACCCTTGGCTGCTACTACAATAGAGACAGATCCTGCAAGGCCCAACATGGGCTGGTGCCTGCCCATCTCAGTAACCACCTTTCTGTCACCTTCTCCCCTATAGCTGTGGGCCTTCCAGGCCTTGGCTGGTCACGTTCTTCCCTATCCACAGCACTCAGACACACAATGAGGACAATGGGGATTCTTTCTGAGAAAGTGGTCAGTTTATTTCTTGTTGTCACTGCACTGTATCTGCATGAACTAAGATGGCTGCCGTGTCATGAAGTGATATACTCTTACTGCTCACCATGGCTTATTTGGTTTGCTGTCAACTAAAGCACTGGATGGTGGGAGGCTGCGGTCCCCTTTCTCCCGGGATGTTCTCTGGAATGCTCCCTCCTCTGTCTAGCTAACTCTGACAGATTCTTCTCCAGTCCCTTCAGAGATGCTTACTTCTGTTCTCAGGGAAGTCTTCAGGCCGGGACAAGATCCTTATTTTACGCCAGAGAACTGTGCCCCTTTTCGTCAGAGCACAGATCTCAGTTTACACGTACGTTCTCGTGAGTGTGATTCTCTGATTAATGTCTGTAGTCCTCATTAGACTGTGACCTCCACAACCCTGCACTTTCTCCATCACTGCATCCTAGAAGACGATGTGCAGTAAGTGCTGGCTCCATGTCTAATCCTGTCCTTTTCAAAAATAAGAACTATTTTACATAGCTAGAATGTGTAGCTTAAATCAAAAGAAACAGCAGCTAAATTCTAATTTGTTTCTTAAAACAATTTTTAAACATTAAAAAAAAAAGTCCTACAACTTTGGTGATTATCAGTATTTTTACCTCTTTGAGTATGAACTCAAACTGTGCAGTATTCAGCAGCAACTGGAAGAGGATCTTGGGATTGTACCTAGAGTCGGTTAGAATCTGGTCCTTGATCTGACGAAGGCGTTTATTGTTTGGGTCACAGGCTAGAAATATGAAGAAAATATGTATGAATGAAGATGAAACCTCAAGTACTTTGCTTCACTTTAAGCATCCAGCATTAAATAAAGTGTTTACCAATAGAGTGGTGAAAGAGTGAATCTAGGCTAGGGTGGACAACTGAGTCTGATATGGAGTGTTACTCCTTTCTAGAATGCTTCATGAAAACAGTGCTTCTAAAGTTTGTAAACATTTTGAGGCTGGCTTTTATCAACTGCCTAATTAAGTGGGAGTGCTTCATAGGAGGGTGGCCTTCTTAGTTCCCATGTTTGGACCCGCTTTTGATGCAGAAAGCGACCCATGCTACTTGGCTGTGGGGAGGCAGGCTGAGACTGCTGTCCTCAGGAAGAGCTGTTTGTAAGGGGTACTCTTGGCAGGCACCTGAGACCTTGGCTTTTGGGACAGGCTTTCACCACTTTGAGAACTGAGAATGATTCACTATGTTGTGGCTGTTCACAAAAACAATGTTAATATCTGCCTTCCTCTGGTAGTTTGGACTTTTGTACAGGACAGGGAGGGGCTGCCTACCTGATTGGCCCCAGTAAATATGCAGAAGCGCCTGGTGGTACCATCTCTCATGTGTTGTCATGATTCACTGCTAGGGGATTTGAGCAGGTGCTGCATGACTCAACTGGGAAAGGACCCTTGGAAGCTTGTGCCTGATTTCATCTTTGTTTTTTTTTTTTGTTTTTTTCTATTGCTGATTTTGCTTTTGCAAGGATTAGAGGACAGCCATAATTATCATACAATTATCATACACATTCTGAGTCCTCTTGGTGAATCTGAAAGCTTGGGGTGGTCTCAGGGACTGGCTGACACAACAGGGAGGCAGCCCACCCAGAGATGTGGCCACTTGAAATGGGAAGAACTGGGACTTTGGGCATCCATCTCCTTGCCAAGGTCAGGGGCATGGTGGGGACTCCATGCTCCCTAGATGATCCACTGCCCAGGCACTGCAGCTTAAGACAACCAAGCAAAGTCACAAAGTTTGGCAGTGACTGACACATGGACCAAACAGCAGATGCCCTCCCTGACTTTCACTTTGGCCTATCAGCTGCCAATCATAACCATTTCAAATAAAATAAACAGTAAGTTAAAAGAAAAGAATTAAAAAAAAATCAATGCTAAAATTGATTTACAGGTTCAGGAAGAAAAAAATAGGATGAAGCAAAAACATATGCATAAATGCAATCTATTTAAATCTAGACTGCAAATAAGGTCAAAATAAAAACCTTAAGGTGACAGCTATAGTTTGTAATGTTCCCAGCTGAGCAGAGTACAAGGTCTGTGGTACGTGCACTAGCATTTTACACACACTCACGCCTGCTTTCCTGTGTGCAGCCTGGGATGCTGGGCAGGCCCAACAGACAAGGTAGGAGCATATACCATAGGTTGTGTGCTCTGCGTCCGAAGAGAAAACACCACACCCCGGGGTGTGTATATTGGGTGTGGTATGTTGGGTGCTTCTGTTATCGTAACACCTGAGGAAGGCCATTTTATGTATCGATGTCTAAGCTACTCCATCAGGATGAAATTTATGACAGCCTGAGCAAAGGGCTCAGTTTTTTTTTTTGTAGTATCAGGGATCGATCTTAGGACCTTTCGCTTGCCAGGCAGGTGCTTATGCCGCTCAGCTAACTCCCCAGCCCACTGGGCTCAGTTTTTATAAAAAACTGAAGTTCTGATTTCTCATGTATTCTCCAGAACAACCTGGGAAGAAATAATTGGACTGGTGACCCTGACTCTACAAAGAGATCAGCTTTGCATTTTTCTAACTATAAAACAAGAAAACTGAAACCCAATACCAGAGGTCTAATCACCTCCACAATCACCCTAATGTTAGAGCCTAGAAAAATGCCTCGTGAAGGCTGCTAGGAGGCAGTATAGGCACATACTAGGATGGAATCCCAGAGATGCTAAATAAGCAGTATATGCCCATGTCTGCCTCACACCCAGATAGGCAAATTGCTTGTTTCTGGTAAATTATCCTTGTGCAATTAGGCCAGGCAATGGCCAGGCACAAGAATGCGTTTGCATCTAGATGTCCTGGTAAAGCCTCATGCAGTCATGCAGTGGGCTTCTAGGGTTTCCGGCTGCCGCATGGTCCAGTGGGGGACGAAGGGTGTTAGCGCTACACCTGGCCTGGGGTGGGCGGCCTGCATACGATATAAGGGAGGGAGAGAGGCTTGCTCTTTCTGCTCCCCCCTGTTGCTCCTGTTGCTTTTGCTGTTTTCCACAGGGCTATGAATTGCTGCCCTCTGCTATGTGCCACACTGCGCTAGAGCCAGCTGAGTAAGGACTGAAACCTCCACAAGCTGTGAGCTAGTAAATCTTTCCTTTCTTAATTTTCAGCTTCTGGTACTTTGTCTCAGCAATGACAGAAAAGTAACCAAGACAGAATGAAAAACATGGCTAAAGATGAAAGCTGAGGTTAGCCCTGGCACAGCGCAGATCTGGAGACACGACTGTCAGGCACCATCACACAGAAGATGGGGCTCAGGCTGAGTCATGAGAAAACCACAGCTGTTTTTATGACAGGATAAAGTGAGGACCTGGGCTGTTTACATTCTTGTAAATGGAAGACTTTGGTAGAGAAGATTACAAGCTGAGTCGATGTAGTAAAATCTCCTGAAATTAGAACTAGAGTTCATGTAAAACATAAACAGCTAATTCAAAACAGATCAATTAGATGCTTAAAAGTTTCAGTCATAGTATTCACACTGTGGGTAAACTGTAAGTGGATCTAGGCCCACAAGCAAAGGGGTGCAAAAACCTGGAAAGCCACACTTGTGAGACAGGTTCAAGGAACTGGAGAGAAGGCAGAGGAGAAATGACACACATGGCAGGAAGGGTGGGCAAGTCCTGTCGATATTTTCTCTATAGTCCACTTGTAGGAGACAGCTGGTAGCTAGAGGATGTGAAGAACATCTTGAGGGAAGAGTTGTGAGGCTGGCACCATCGTATTATTAGGGGGTGTTGAACAACTGCGTGGACAGTTTTAGTGGCACAATCTTCTCTAAAGAAAGACGTGAGTGTCTGTCTCTGAAGGTCCTCAAGAAGGTAGATGAAGGAAAGATAAACAGAAGGCTCTACTAGGCTGCTGAGTGACACAACTCTCAGGAAGAGTCAGTCCTGGATGAACCAATTCATTAGTTAATTAAAGTTGGAGGAACATTTACTATGGATAAAGAATTAGCCCTCTCTGAACAAGCTTAGGATGGTTAGTTCAATCTACTTATTTCTCTACCAATTAAAACAGAGGTTTTAGGGCTGGAGAGATGGCTCAGTGGTCTAAAGCACCTACTTAAAAAACAAGCTCAGCAAAGCATCAGGGACTGCGGTTCAATCCCCCAGCACCACATGCCAGCCAGCCCCCGCCCCCTGGTGGGCTGAGCTGGCCACACACACACACACCTCTCTCTCTCTCTCTCTCTCTCTCTCTCTCTCTCTCTCTCTCTCTCTCTCTCTGTCTCAAATAAATTAAAATAAAATAAAATAAAAAATTAAAAAAAAAAAAAAAAAAAAAAAAAAACAGAGGTTTTAGTCACTGATCACTGCTTCTACAGAGATGATTTACAGAGTCTAAGAACTCCATGAACTTGATGGTCAAACCATGTAGACAGAAAGTCTCAAAGGTCTCTTTTTTTTCTACAGAGAGAAAAGTTGGGACCAAATCTTCCTGAGGCAAGCACTTTAGTCTGGTCAGGTCCTGAACTCAGGCAGCCCATGTTTTTCCATATTTCTAAAATCATACCACTGATTCAATACTTCTGTAGTCCACAATTTCTTCTGGTTTTTACCTCATCTTACTAAGAGCCTGACCAGCTCCCGACTCCTAAATGGAGCCTTTGTTGACCTCTTCTGTTCTTCTACCCCACGCAATGGTTCCCTCCCTACTCTGAATTTGCACCACACTTAAAACACCTGGCTTTTATTTACTGCCTGGACCTTGTGTCAGTTGCCTATGGCTGTTTGCACTAACCAATTAGCATATGTTTCGTAAATTAAAACCAGAGGGGCTAGGGAGATAGCTCAGTGAAATAAGTCCTTGCCTGGCAAGCACAAGGAACTGAGTTTGATGCCTGGTACTACCAAAAAACAAACAAGCAAACAAAATACCACAAAAAACAGAACTATTGAAACTTATTCTCTTACATATTAAAAGCAAGAAATCTAAAACATGGCCCTCTGGGGTATCTTCTGGAAGCATACACTAGAGGAAATCTTTTCCGTGCCTTCTTTTTTAAAAAAATTATTTGATACAGGGTCTCACTACCAGCTTCGACTCGTAGTGATTCTCCTAACTCAGCCTCCCCAGTGCTGGGATTACAGGTGTACACCACCGCCACCATGCCCAGCTTCAGGTACTGATGATCGAACTCAGGTCCCTGTGTTTGCCAGGCAGGCATCAGACCACTGAGCCATCTCCTCAGCCTCTTCCTTTCCTTCAGCCCTTCCAGGTTGCCTCCATTTCTTGGCTTATGGCCCTTCCCATCTTTTTTTCAATTTCAAGCAAGGGCAGCAAGGGCGACTCATGTCTTCCTGGTGCATTTCTTTGGTTCTGATTCTTCTGCTTGACTCAAGGACCTTTGTGATTATATGAGGTCCTCTGGAATAATCGAATCTAATACTTTAAGGTCAGGCAAAGAGCCTGATGTAACAAAGTAACGTGTGTACAGGCCCAAGAGATTAGGGTAGGGACATCTTTGTGTGGGTGGTTGGGAGGATTTATTGTAACGACACAGATCCATACTCTCCTTTTTTGTATGTATATACCTTATCACCTCAATTCAACCAATGACAAGCACTTTTGACAGGAGACCTAAACGTCCTCAGATTCCCCAGCATGCGACTTACTCAAGCTGACACAAAAAAATGTTATAAGAGCCACATGATTCTCATCCAAGCACTCTTTCCCTGATAAACCACTTTGCTTCCTAAAGTAGATCTTAATTCTGAAGAGTTTCTATGCAGCAACATATTGGTTGCCCTTTTGTGTATTACCTGAGTCTGTCGTATGAAGCATCAGCCACCGGATGGCCACGTTGCAGTCCCGCAGGCAGTTGAGGAGCTTTGGGATATTGTCCAGAACCATCTCCTCCCTTAAATAACCTTCTTTCAGAAGCTGCTGCACTTGAGTGTGCACTCTTTCACTGACAGCAGCATACCTGCTTGCCTTTGAAATTGAAAAAAAAATTGACATATATTAAAAACCATTTATCTCCAAAACAAACCATAGTCAATTAAGTCCCTAGGTAAACATATCGACTTGTCTTCTCTCTTTCCTGGCTTTCTTCCTTCCTTTCATCATTTCCTTTCAATAATAACATTTCTACATGACATGAGTCACATATGAACTACAGTTCTAACACTTAAGGGCGACTAGTTTACTAGACATTTCTTACTATTCTGAGACTAAGTCTTAAGTTTTGGTGAGACTTAACCACTGGTGTGACACTGGGTTTAACCTCTACACAGTGGTTTGTTCAAATGTGAAATGGAGAACTGGACTGGGTGGTTCTTTTCTTAACTTGAATGAGAAACAGAAAGACAGAAGACAAGTTGCCTGTTATTATTGAAAATGAAGAACAAAGCAGACACGTGGAAAAGATCAGACTTCTGTAGGTATATGAAGCTGAAGAAAAAAATACACCTTACAATATCATTACTGAATTCTCAAACCAGCCTTTGGGTATTTGGTTATTCTGTTTTACTAAAGACTCAAACATTAAACATCATTGACCTAGTCAGGTTAATTTAAAACTACCAAAAAGCTTCAAAAAAAAGTCCTAAATGAGAAAATAGAATTTAAGGGTCAGCCAGATAGCTCAGCAGATTAAAGCACCTGCTTAGGCAGACGCAAGGACCAGGGTTCGATTTCTGGCATGCTGTGCCAGCCCTGCCTCCAGGATGCGCTGAGATGGCGACTGAGACTGGGTGTGGTGGCATGTGCCTATGATCCCAGCACTTGGGAGGCTGAAAAACAGAAGGAACACTGAGTCCAATCTGTGTGGTGAGACCTTATAGATCCTGTACTACATACATTAAAAAAAATAAATAAATAAAAATAAGAAAATAGAAGGGGCCGGGGAGATGGCTCAGTAGAATAAGCACTTGCCTGGCAAACATAAGGGCCTGAGTTCAATCCCCGGTTCCGCAAAAAAAAAAAAAAAAAGAAAAGAAAAGAAAATAGAATTTAAGAAAGCAGTTTTAGTAATGAAAAATTAATGTCTTGATATCAGTAATTATGGAAGTGCTACTTCTTACTCTAATATATTTCTAGGAGACATGCCAAGTTGAAATTATTTTGTGCATTATTTATATAACTCAATTTATTTGAATAAAACATGATAAAGTTTGTGGAGTCAATACTGTTCTATCCACACAGGAAACTCAGTAACTCTGGCAGTCAAGCTGAGAAATACAATCATCCAGAAATATCAGATATGTATACCAATAAGATAATTTATTTTATACTTTTATTAGTCAAGTATTTCCTCTGCCTTGTGCCCTTACCAAAGAGAAAGATGATAGCCATGTAAGTTAAAAATGAGGGGGCTGGGGAGATAGCTCAGCAGACTTAGCACTTGCCTGGCAATTGCAAGGTCCTGAATTCAATCCCCAGTAGCACAAAAACAACACAAAACAAAAGAAAAAAAACTCCCAAAACTTAAAAATGAATGTCTTAATTCTCACTGCTTAAATAAGCTAAATATAAAGAATAGCAACTTCAAATGACAGTGACAGAATATTCTCCACATTCAGTTACCACTTTAGGCATCCATCCTTCTGATGAAAACATGTTAATTCCAGCAATCTGCAAAACTGTCCCTAGGGCACTGTGTAGGCAAGATCGAGTCAATTAGGACTATACAGTCATTGTACTGACTTGTCTTAGGATATCGAATAGCCTTATGACCCAAGTCTCCAATTTATTATATACAGAAGTTAAAAATCTATGCTTTTATGCTTTTCCCAATGTGTAGCACATACCTTCTATTATAAATGTTTATGTGGACATTTTACAAATTCCCTAAAAAAGCTACTTTGGTCAATTTCTGCTTCATAATCCAGGCTTGCAGTTAGCAGGAGCCTCCTTGGTTAGGCAAAACTTACCTGTTCTCTGACGTTTGAAAGGTCCAGAGTGTTATTTAAAGCAGTTTTTGCAGCTTTGTAAGGTTCCCAAGCTTCTGCTAGGTTCACTGTGATCCCCATGTAAATACTAATTACCTGAAAGAGGATGCACTCACTCAGTACTGTTCACGCGCTTTTAGGTGGGGGGCTGGGAACAGGTAAAGCCATGCAAGACATTGCTCTCTTTCCGGGTTAAACTCGTGTCAGTGAAGACTCTGGACCCTTCCAAAGACATAGAAAAGGATTCTTCCTTGTGAGTACTTTGAGATAAGAGTGACAAGGATGCTGTTCAGGGAAAAAAAAGCAAAGTGCTTTTGCTTTCTAAAAGCAGTGACACTAACTGAAACAGGTTTTCCTAAAATTTTTTGTCTTTTAGTGCTCTTAACAGTTACTGAAGGCTCCTAGATTAAAAAAAAAAAAAAAAAAAACTCTATGAATATTTGTCCTATTACACATTAAAACTGGTAAATTTAAAAATATTTAAATTATGACTCAGGTCACCTTAGTATTCTATTTAATTAGTGACTTTTTCCTCTACTGTTTTTGACTGTGTATACTGTGTTATATTTTTTCACTAGTATATATATTTAGCTTTTCTTGATTGGAGTTTGTATTACATATCTTTCTTTTTGATCCTTTTATGCTAGAGTGTATGAGATGGTGTTTTTTACTTGTATTTATTTATTTGGTACTGGGAATTGAACTCAGGACCTTGTGCTTGCCAGGCATGTGCTTATACTGCTGAGCTATATTGCTGGCCCCTTATTTATTTTATCTAGATTGTTTTAGGTATGTATCTTACAGGCATCAAACTGGATTTTGACTTTTCTGAACATTAAATATTCTTGTAACTACAGCAGTATAATCAAAACTTCTTTAATCTGTGTTGCTACCATGAAAGAAAACTTTTAGTTTTCTTCCTGGTTGCTCAACCCCAAGCTCAGAAGCATGACTCATGAGTGGATAGAACAATCACCCCTTAATTGTAGGTTGTTCTCATTTGGCAGTAAATTAAAGGGTCTCTCGTAACAGATAATTAACGTGAGTCAGTAGTTGTGATTCAATAGTTAAGAAGCAGAACAAAATCTCCTACCTGAGCACATGAACTGATACACTGCTCTTGGTAAAATCTTCTTGTGCAGGAAAAAGATTTCACATATAATAGATACATTAAGTTTTACTCCTTCAGAATATTTTTAAGTAAACAAACTTTAAAAGTTGCACAAGGGGCTGGGGAGACGGCTCAGTAGAATAAGCGTTTGCCTGGCAAGCACAAGGGCCTGAATTCAATCCCAGGTTCCACAAAAAAAAAAAAAAAAAAAAAAGTTGCAAGCATACACCTGCAGTCACATAAATCTCAATGTGCCCACCAGAGACACCTTGGAGGTAAGACTTCTGTAAGTTAAATAGTGTTTCACAAAATGACAAGAGATCGTTTTTGCTATTTTAGATTTACAAAATGGCTTAGAATCATAAAATAGAAAGTAATTTAAAAATCCTCATGTAACTTCATGGCATTCTCAATACCAAAAGCAAGACACATTTTAATATATGGTTTTATCTTGAGCATGCATTGAAAGAAAATACTGAGCTTGTCAGGGTATTTTGACTGACTTAGCCAGTCTTGTTTTTATATATACAATTTCCAATACACTTTATTCTGCCTAAGTGATTTTATGACCCAATACTGAAAATATCATGAACTTTGGTTTAAGGACAAAAAACACAAAGTAGGATGATTACAAATTTATGGGAGAAGAAATAACCCAGTAATACTTGCCCAGTTATCTGGAAAGTATTTATCCACGATCTCTCTCATTTTTGCTTGATGGGTCTGGAGAATAGCAGGCTCAAAGTAGAGAATCACATACAGCATGGCAGCCTGATTCGCCAGGGCTGTGCTGCGGTGCTCCGGCAACGGGTAGGCCGAGACCTGCAACACAGACACGCCCCCGCACGGGGGACGGCTGCTCACATCTGGATGCACAGACCTTTGAATTAAACCATCTGTTCTAGGGCACATCTCTTTCAAATGCTCGCCATTTGGGCACTGGAGGCAATTCTCCAGTTGTGGTACTGGTATCCAGGGTCTTCCTTCTGTCTTATCCCTAACCCCAAGATACTCTCTTCCTTTTAGTCCTTGACCTGCTGCAATTCTGACTTTTCCTTTAAAAGCAATTCTCACTCTGTCACCAACGAGTTATACCTTTGTGTGTCTTTCCTCCCTTTGAACTGCTACACTTGGGGCCGGGGACATAGCTCAGAGGCATAAAAACCCACTGGCAAGCACATGGTGCTGAGTTCAATAAAAAAAGAACTACTTAGCTTCCCATAATTTTATCACTTCTGGTTTGTTCTACAACTTGATGCAATTTGAAATTTGATGTCTGCCATTCTCCAATGGGTTTTCCTAACCCAACTCATTGGCTTCTGTTTAGAGTCCTCACTTAAATTCTTGGAGTAATGAAGCTCTTTGGTTTTCTAGATATCATTATCTCTTCTCAGCATGTTTTGCTGAGTCCTCTTCTGCCTGCCTTTGAAATGCTGATGCTCCCCAGGGATCCATCTGCTCTTGGGTTAGAAATCTCTGGTTGCACCCAGCACCTATTACTTGAGCTACCACAAGCAGAAAGTGGAGAAATTATAAGGAAAGGCCTTTGAATCCTGCAGGCAGGAATGTGGCTGGACCACAGGAAGAGAGGGGTGAGGGGGGGCTATACACCAGAATGCCTTTCCTCTTTCTCCTCTTAATGCATCTGCCCAACTTTTCCTTTTTGACTTTTCATACAACTGGTTGAATGAGGAACCCTCCAACTCCAGACTCACATGTATGTAAGGTGATTTAATCATGGGGTGTTACACTCAGCAGGGGATTCACTCACTGATGAGTTTAGTAGCTGAACACTGGTAGGTGGGGCTCGCCTGCAGGCGGGGCACTGGGGACGCAAGCTGCAAGTGTGTATTCTTGTCTCCTTTGCTCTCTGCTTCCTGGCAGCCTTGTGTTGAGCACCTTCTTTCACCATGTCCCTTTGCCATCCTGTTTCTGCCTCGGAGCCTGCTGGCCACGGACTCAAACTGTCAGCCAAAATAAACCTCCTCTCCTCTAAGCTGTAGGTGTCCAGCAATGGAAAAGTAACCAATACACATGTCGTAGGGAAACCCAGGCAGCAGCTCTTTCAGACCCAGTTCCAAAATACACAGCGAGAGAGAATCTGACCCCTCAGCCGTGATCAGGGATGGGGGGGTATGTGTAGGAGAGAGAATGGGGTAACATACAGCACCACTACAGCTTGAGCACATGTTAGCGAAAGGCAGGTACCGTGTGGAATATTCTGACACAGGTACAACGGACTGAGCAGGAGGCAGGATAGTGTCAGGCCAGCCAGAGAAGAGAAGAGGCGAATGGCATGGGCTTTGAGTTCATTCAGAATTCATAAAGACCTGAATTCAAAGCATGGTCTACTACTTACTAGTGGGCCCTGTGAAGATTATTTATAGTCTCTGAGTCTTAGTACTCAACAGCAACATGCAGAAATGCCATCTGCTTTGCAGAACTGCTGTGAGGCATAGAAAAAACAGTATATGATGCCAATGTAGACTGAATTCTCAATGAATGGCGATACATACTACAAAGCATGTCACCTGCAAGTAGCTTCTGGTTTTATATTGTCTTTAAAAAAATACCAAGGAGTAAAAGGGTCTTACTGATACTTGACATATTTACACCAAAAACTGACAGACTACCTAAAGAATGGTGAGGAGCAAGTATGTTGTTTGTTCTCTTCTAGTAGAAGGACCTGTAATGCACCATTTCAGTACAGTGTAATCAAACAGTAACTTTCTTTGGTAGTCTCTCAAGTGAATGAAATGCTCTCAGAGGACAATGACAGAACTTTCTGGTGCTGCAGAATATTTCTAGCCCTGTTCAGGCTGCCACCCTGCCTGGACTAAACTAATTCTGCACTTTGTTGCCTGCTATAATCTTGTGACCACTGCCACAGGCGTTGGTTTGTGCCACTCCATGCTGCCCTAAGATGATGCTCAGCTCACTTGCCTGTAATCCCTCAGTTGGTGTCTTCTTTCCTAGGCAAGCAGCTCACTGTGCGAAGGGAGTGTGGCCTGCCTTTCTCAGTGATTAGAACCAGCCAGGCACACGAGTGGGCACACAACGCACACTCCACAACTATTCCTTAAATGAATGACTAAAGAATGCATGTTCTTTCCAACTGTTCCAATCCTACTCATGCCTGACAACCCCCTCTCCCTCTTCCCTTTTTATTGTGCTATTAGAGATTGAATCCAGGGTCTTCACACTGACCTATGCTCCCAGCTCTTCGGCATTTTATTCTGAAACAGAATCTTGCTTAGTTGCTCAGGCTAGACTCAAATTTGTGATCCTCTTTCTCGGCTTCTTCAAGGCTGGGATTGTGAGTATGCACTATATGCCTGACAGATGCTGACTCAACTAACATTCCTCCTTCCTCTGCAGCATGGTTCAAAAGATTTTAAAAATTATTTCTAGTCGCTATTTTTATTCTTTTAGGAGGAAGGAAGAAAACAAGTAACTGAGGAGAAAAGTAAAATCAGTCTTTTAAATAAATGATTTTATTCCTACCTGGTTGTAAATATCATCAGATCTCAGTCGACCAATGACCATGCTGATGAAGGCTTCATTGATAGGGACTCTCTGGAAATAGCTCTCGGGATAGTTGGGTGGCCTTTTGGCTCCTGGCTGGCTGGAATAACCTGTACTCCGCAGCAGCTTGCAAATATCATCCATATTTGAATCAGCAGAAGATCGAGCGGCACTGAGTCATGTTTACAATGAGAAATAAAGGGCCAGATAAACCACATGTATTAGAAATTCAAGATTTAGAAAGATGAAGAACTGTATGTGGATAAAACCATGGATCCATTTATAGCCTTCATTTGCAAAACTGTGTTTCTAAAAGCCTATTTAGAAGATGGATAATAGTTTCATGTAAAGGTACACAATCCCTTCCCCCAAATCCTTGGGGCTAGATTTTTCCCAGAATATAGACTTTTTCAAACATAAGAAAGTAACATAAAGTCAAGCATGGGGACATAGGTCTTTAATCCTAGCTACGCAGGAGGCTGAGGCAGGAGGATCATAAATTCAAGGCCATCCTGGAGAACTTATCAGGATGGTAAGCATATGATTAAAAATTATACTATTTAAATTTAAAAAATTATTACAGTAAGACACAAAGCCATGAACCCTCCCTCAACCAATATTTCTTCACTTTGAACATACTTATCTTTTCACTGCGTCTTTGCAAGATGTGATCAAAAATATGGTGGCTGCTGCTGCCCAGTGCTTCCAATACAACAGCTCTGTGTCCCGACCCGCCTTCTTCACCAGATCTGGCAGCGTGCAACTTGTGGCTCCCCACAGAGGCAAAATGCCACTTTGGAAGACGTTCTGGAAGTCCTTTCATGAACTTTTTTCGTTATGCCCTTGTGGCTGCTTGAATATGCTCACCTGGGACAGAACGCTTACCTTTCCTGGTCATTTTGACCTTGGGGAGGAGCCACAAGTTGCATGATGTCAGATCTGGTGAAGAAGGTGCATCAAGACACAGTGCTGTTCTGCTGGAAGCACTGGGCAGCAGCAGCCATCTTGTGACGTGATTTTTGATCACATCTTGCAAAGACACACAAAAAACTTCCAAACTGCTTCAGGAAGTGTCAAGAATGATGGGATATGTGTACTTAAACAGAGGGGAAATAGCTTAGGGGGAGTAATGGCAACGTGTCTTTTACTGTTAATAAATGTTTAAAATTTAAAGTCACCATATATTTTGATCATATTCCACCAAGATAAGAGGTGGCAGCCTATGACCAACATATATCAATAAATTTGGAATAAGGCCTACAAATATACAAAAAAGAGAAAAGTGAGGTAAGTGAAGACTAACAAATTTTATGGGCAGGTTTTGAACCCAGTGAGTTCAGGTTAGATCAGGCTTAGCTGTCAAAGAGTCACTGCAGTATGTGTGCATGATATATACATATTTTTTAGTGCTTTCTGGACTTGAAAATTATGGATAAAGAATGTGAAACTGAACTAACATTTCATAAATTGAACTGAATTTTTAAAATTCTACCCAAAAGGCTGAGGCAGGACGACCACTGTGAGTCTGAGGCCAGCTTGGGATATATAGTCAGTTTAACGCCAACCTGAACAACATAGCAAGACCCTGTTTCAAAAAAACAAAACTCTTCTCAATTTAAAGTGAGTTGTATACTACCTGGATTCTCTTGGCAAGCCGTTCCTTACTACAGACCTCATAACAACATTTGTGAGTTTTCAGGATGGAAGAGTAAACAATGAGAGAAATGAACTAGACTCCACTCCCAGCCCTGAGGTGGCCTGGCCTCTGGTGGAAGACGTTCTTCTCTGCCACGCTGCTGTGCGACCACTGTGGCAACCTCAATACCGGGTGTTCACATTCTGAAAATTACCTGTTGTAGCCAAAGGGCAAAGCTGGATTTTTCAAAGCTGGGCTCAATAAGCAAATGCTTTTTTTTCCCTTTACATTATTTATTGGTTTTGTTTTTCCAGATACATTCAGAAATATAGGTAAGTTATTAAGCTTCATTTTTTTTTAAGAAAATGGATGTTACGACAGCTTACGGCCAAACTGCCATGAAGCGTGACTGCTCCAGAAGACACTCTCTGCACACACAGGTAGAGGCAGGAGACAGGCCACGCAGGGCTGCAACTTCGAGTCAGGGCTCCTGAGGTGGGCGCCCGCACGCAAGCCTCTTCCTCTACTGCCTCTCAACTTTGTCCTAAACTGTAAACTGGAAAAATGTTAATTCTACTCCTCATGTCTTCAGCTTAAGTTCCTAAATGAATCCTCTTTACTGACTGCGTCTTTCCTGAATCTATTTCTGATACTGATCTCGTATCTAGCTTTTGACTCATTCTTTTGACAAACTGAAAACCTGCGTTCTATAAACTCAAAGTACATGGCTGATATGATAAGGTGGCTCCTGTCTTCAGGACCCTCCTCCCTGAAGACTCACAGCTTTATGTGGACATACACACATACATATGTGGACCCTGCATACATAATATTGTTTATTTTGATTCTGTATATATGGGTAAGAATTCACTTGCAACCTGATCTTCAGTGACAATGTTGCACAGTCATCTGCCTGAGAATGATCAGAGAAGCTCCCTTGTTTCTTTATATGACAATGGGTCATATACAAAAAAGCTTAAAAAGAAAAAGAAAAACTAATTATATTTTCTAAAACTCCTTGAAATTTATTTTTAAGGTAAGGAAAATACAGAATTTACATTCCTTTTACTAAAACTGTTATCATTCTAGACATAGTACTCTCTATTCTCTAAAAATCTATACCATAGTATACAGTGTCTTATACAGAGGCTGTTCAGAGTATAACCCACAGTCACACTATATACTGCAGACAAGTGCTATCGTCCTGTGCTATGTCCAGAAGGTTTCTTCCTAGCCCTACACCATCTTTCTGCTGTTCTCCAGCGCAGCGTGGAAGCATGCCCTACACTGACCAGCAGCGAAGCTCTGGGGTGTGCAGGCCCAGCCCAGGGTACCTGTAGCGATAGTAAGAGACCAGCATCCTCTCTCTGACTTCTCCTTCAATCTTCTGATCAATGACTAGCAGCATAACTCCATATAAATATAGTGCTTCACACTAGAAAAAGACAATAATCAAACTTAGAGGGGTGTATATCTGTATAAAAACAATAGTTTAAAAAAGTTACATTAGATGTGTTCTTCCTAAAAGCTTTGTATTTCAAGGAAAATACAAGTTTTCTACAAAGAATCCTCAATGTCCATGTAGAATGGGAAATTTTACTCAAAAATAAATTTTAATTTACAGTGATTATCATCAGTTGGTCTTTATTTTCCTTGCAGAACTTAAGAACCACCATGCCTGACTTAATTCATTTGCAAATTTAATAAACTTCTTGAGTGGTTACCATGTACTAGGTATCAGCAAGATGACCAGGGTGCAAAAAGGGGATGCAATTTTTATATAGAGGAAGCTTATGACTGTCACATATTCTTTTATTTGTTTATAATTTTGTTCAGTATTTAGTATGTCCAAAACTCAGATATGGACCAGCCAATTAGAAGATAATTATCAGTGTATTTGATTCTCTTTAAAGAATGGTATTCTGTCTACATTTGTGCCTTACAGGAACAAAAGCGAGGCTGAATTGCACTTTCTTCAATTGCTATTTTACATAGTCACTACTACTTACAAGAAGTTGTTTTCCATCTTCATTGAGAAGCACAGTTTCTAAAGTTTGCTGAATATAAACACCTTCATTGAGATCATCTAGGTATCTAGAAAAAAAGCCCCAGGACAACTTATTCACATATAACAGAAGCTTTCAACGTTTTTGAAGAAAGAAAAACTTTTAAAAGATGACGCAGGATGCTAGGCATTCTGGCTTTAGTTATGCTCATAGGAAACAGCATCCTATGAGCTGTAAATCATAGTGATTTAGGGCCACAGGTTGATATTTATGGCTGCTTCAGATAAAAGCAAATTTGTTCATTTTTTAAAATTTTTAAAAAATTTTTATTAATTTTATTGAGAAACAAATTGCAATGAGACAGTTTCAAAACTGATTAGTAGGACAGTTTCAATAATTTATACATTGCATATTGTTGTGTTCGTAGTGGTTATTCAGAGTACAAGATGCAGTTATGATATCCTGTCCAAATACTATCAGTACAAATCTTTCTTCACATTGATGTTCATTTCAAATAATGATGAGTTATAACTATCTTAGGAGTTATGACATGAGAAAATAGAATAGTTGGTTTAAAGAGTAATAATGTCTTAAGAACTGAAGAAGAGACAGAAAGTTGTCTACGAAAATAAGTTCTTGTTTTTCTATTTCCTATTTACACTGTATAATAGATCAGAATATGATCAAGACTGAAAGCTATATGGCTTGGTCTAACCAAGTTCATTAGTATACTTCAAAAGATCAAGAAGCTATAATAAAACTCCAAACTACTTAAGACCAGTGCCCCAAGAAACAAAAGACAACTATACAGGTCATTAATGAGTAAATCTGATAGTAACTCAGAAAGATGTACACATTCTGGTCAGTAGGATCTAGCAGGTCCCTTACCCTCCAGTACTTACACACAGAAAAAACTATTACAAAATTAATCAATACCTGTTTAAGTCTACAATATATTTATGCACACTCTGAAATGCTAAATAAAATCTGGTCACAATTTCTATGTTGTTTTCCCGAAATTCTTCATCTAAATCCTGTAGCTCTGGCTTTGCTTCCAGTTTGCTTTCCCATAACTCTTGACCCTAAGAAGAAAAAACACATTTACATGAAACATCAATAAAACCACCCATATTAGAAACAATTTTTAAATAGCCTTATAAAATTCTGTTCTTATGTATTAAAAACTGAAAGCAGAGCAAGAGAAAAGTAATGCAGATAATAAAAGGCTAGATACAAAATCCTTTTAAAAGAAATGTACTTGAGTTGCAACTAAGATAACCATGTTATTAAGTGTGAAGTGGTTTAAGGTGAAATATGGTATGCCATAAGTTATCTTTTTGAAATTTGATTATGTTGTGTTAGGACTTCCATACAATGTGTTTATTTTATTTTCAGGTTGGTGCTAACAATACATTTAACTTTCCACTTTAACTCTTTCTTCATAATTACCTGATCTCTTAGAATCATGGTTCTCAAAGTGTTGAAAAGACTGCATGCAATACAAGTGCTCCAGAGGAAGAATACCTTAAAATAGCTGAAATCAAATATGATCTCTCCGTATTTCTGTTGATCCGCTCGATCCTTCAACCTGAACACGGCAGGAATGAACTCTGAGAGCCTCAGCAGCTCCGCGATGATGGCATTGCCACAGGACACGATCCTCAGGATTGCTTGGCCACAGAGGTTGTTCTCAGCCAGGAAGTCCAGCATCGTGAGGATGAGCAGCGGGGCTGCACGCGGGCGGCGGGATGATTAGCTGCGGCAGAGCTGGGCTCTGCAGATCACTAAACGAAAGCAGGCCTGTGGGCTGACTGGATGGTCCATCAAAAAATCTGTTTCCAAAACAGTATATAAATCTCCATTTCTTAAAGAAGTATGTGTACATACTTTTGAAGCACACACTTTTCTCCCAAACTCAATGAAACATAAAACAGACAACGAATTCTGATATATAGGACAAGGTCATTTAGTCCCTCTCCATGTTTTCCAGAGGGACACTGCTAGATGAACTCTCATGGCCTCATTTTCAGCCCTTTATTCAACCCTCTTGGAGAGAAAAGATAGGACTCTGATATCTCTAAGCGAGAGAGAAAGGGACGCTGGGTATGCGTGTTTCCAATGTGCCCCAACTGCACAAGCTGTTATGCTGTTTTAGCAAAGAGCTACAGACTATACAAAGAGCTCAGAGTTGTCTTGGTATACTCTTAGGCATTTGCCAATGACACCACAAGGTTGAGGTATAAAAATGTCCAATTCCTTTTAAAATTATACACATCAGGTTCTACAAAATTCTGTAAAATTATTGATTCAAAAATCTCATGTAATTCAGCAGTTAGGTGCCCAGTGTAATACAATGACTTACCTGTATGTGTTACATTCCAATGCACTGTCTGAGGATGCTTAGGTCACCCAGTATATTAAATACTGCTTTTTTTTTTTTTTATGGTACTGGGGAACAAATTCAGGACCTTGTGCTTGCCTGGAAGGTGTTCCTGTCGCTGAACTACATTCCTGTCATTCTCATGAAAGTTTCTGAAGCAAGGGTTGACCTATACCTGATCACTCAGGCCAAGTGCTATTATGCCTGGGCAAAGATGACACTTCTTAGAAACTCTCCTTTAAGCACAGTGGTTCCTAAGCCCAGCAGAATTCCCTAACAGAATCCCTCAGAATGTGAGAGTTTTTGACACATAGGTCACAGGTTGTTCTAAGCATCTTATGTTTACAAAGCCCCCCAGATGATTCTGATGCAAAGTCAGAATTATTAAGAGTACAAGATTACTGGTATTGTAGAAAACTGCAGCAAATATGAAGCAAGTTAACAATATTTATCTCTGTATGGCAAGTGAACAAAAAGGATTCTAAGAGGTGTCCCTGCTTTTGTAGCTGCCTGTAACACAGCTAGGGAGACAAGTCTGGAAGGAAAAATCAAAACAGATATAGATGAAGTACTTGAGCAGGTGGCCAAGATAGAGAACACACATTCACTTGTGAGTATAGAGCCTGTAGTACCATCTGCTAGGAAGGGAATTCTGTCCACTTCAAGCAGGCTTTAGTAGGGTGGCACCTTCTAGGCTTCAGGGCTTAAGAAGGAAGGCCAGAAGGTATAAGGACAGACACATTTGACCATTTAACTCTTGAAGACTTTTCTGTGGCAGATGACTTGAGGTGACAGATTTGAAACACAAAGAGAGACAGAGGACTGATTTCTGAAACACACAAAGAATCTAACTGAATAGCAGAGAGCCAACAGCCCAAAAGAAAAATGGGCAAAGAAAACAAAGGGGATTGTTCATGCAGAGTAATCCACAGGACAACTGCACAAAATGCTGTAACTAGCTAGAGTAAAAGAGCTATGAATTAAAGCAACTACCCCAAATCACTTTATTTATAGGTTGCCAATGATTAAAAATATAATTGAGATGTATGTTACTGATGAGAAGTGATTTATTAGTCTTGGTAAAGTGAATCAATAACATTCGTGAAGTTAAATGCACCCTTTCGTCTAACTAGGATTCTGTTCTCTAGAAGTAAGCATCACCATAAAAGGATATAGGTCCAAGGATATTTCTGGCAGCAGCAGCAGCAACATTTGGGGACAAATGAAACAGCCACTTGGTGGGAAATGCAATTGAAGCAACCATTAATAAGAATGAATTAATGTCTGCACCTTGTCCTCTGAATAACTACTATGAAGACAATAATATGCAATGTATTAGTTATTGTAACTGTCCTACTAACCTGTTTAGAAACTGTTTCATTGCCATTTTTCCCATTAAAATGAATAAAAATTTTTTAAAAAAGAATGAATTAAGGCTCTACTATTTAACTTGGAAGATTTCCAAGAGCTATTATTGAGTGTAAAAAATAACATGCAGAAACATGGGAGGAGGGTGCTCCTGTTTTGTGTATATATATTAGATAACTGCATGCAAACAGAGCAAGACATGAAAGAAAGAAAGAATATCTGAAAGAGGAAGGAGCAAGGAAAGCGAAGAGACAGCCAACAAATAAAAGGGAAAAGACCAAGACCTCACTGGGTGGGTGAGGGGGACCCAAGTGACAAAAAGCTATCAATGCATGTGGAATTCTTTGGTATACACATCCAAGTGTCTGAGCCTCTCCTAGCTACCCAGTTTGGGTCTTTAAGCATCTTCTGCTTCACAGAGATCAGCCAACAACACTGCTTCATAGTACATCCCTTCCCTTCTGCCTAGTGCCCTCCCAAGTCAATGTGAAGGCAACAGTAAGAGTAGAGTGCAGAGGAGGAGGCAGGAAGATTGCCATGAGTTCAAGGCCAGCCTGGATTACATAGCAAGACCCTATCCAAGAAACAAAAGCAAAAACAAACAGCAAAAAAGACTGTTCTTGCTCCCATACTGACTACAAATTCTTAAGCATCCTTGAGCCAAAAGCACCTAGCTAAGCCACACCCTATTCCTTACTACAGAAACTGTGAGACAATACCTGCTTATTGTCTTTAGTCACTATGTTGTAGGGTATTTAATTATGCAGTAATAGAGAATGAGCTGCTTCTGGAGAAGGATATCCCACGTGTGGTCAAAAGCAAGTGCAAGGGGCCTAGGGCAGAAATGTATGGAGGTAATTCATGAAGGCAAAGGTGGCTACGTGACTGGAGCAGAGTAGGCAAGGGACAGAGATGAGCAGAGGTGGACTGCTCATCCACCTCTGAGGGCTTGAGAGTAAGAACTGCTGGGAAGTTACTACAGCAGCCTGACACACTTTCTCATAAGGGTACCCTATTGTGCATATTAAGGCATAAATTATTAAAAGTTGCTTTTGTTTCTCTATGGCATTTGCTTTCTAAACCACAGGCTGAATTTCAGGTGATTTCCTTTCATTGTCTGCACTCTCATGGTCTGGTTTGGGAATGAGAGAAAAAGGGACAACGGATGAAACAGGCACCTACTGAGGTCCTCTTAAGACCAAATAACTAGAAGGTCTAAGCAGGATGACTCTAGATTCATGAAGACAAGGCCAGGCTAGGATTAGGAGGTATACCTGTAACTGGCAATGCAAAATGGAACTTTAAAGTGAACTTTTTTCTTTTCTAAGGGAAGTAATTTCTCCAAATTTCTCCCAGTGAGCACATAATGAACACTGGCTCTCCTCACCCTTTTGAAAGAAGTGACAGAATATGCAAGTGCTCCAGGATGCAGGAGCCCAGACTCCTTCCCAAAGAAAGAGGAATGAATCAACATTGGCCAGAATTAAGATCTATACTGTCTTTCTGTGCTTACCTTCCCTCTGTTCCTTACTATGAAGGATCTTTACCTGCAGGTACACTACAAGATGGTAGTGAAAAATCATTTTCCTTTTGATTCAAATATATGGCCTCTATTGATTTGGCCAGTAGCATAACTACTAGTGGATTTTGGACCCTAGGAAAGGTAGGCAAAGGGGACCTGGAGAAAACAGAATAAGGTGAAACATTACCTGCCTCCTTCTGTCATAAACAGGCACACAGCATCTGCAGGCACACATCAGGGAAACTTAGGCCTACGATGACAACATAAACCAAAACTTTAGTGTGCCAATCTCTTATACTAATCCTAAACCTTACTCAAGAATTATACCATAGATATCTTTAAAGGAACACTAGAAGGAGAGTAACAAAGTAATCAAACATGTTTGGCAGCAGTAAAAACAACATCATGGAGCTTTGTTATCTAGGTTGACTGCCCCATATAGAATTCTAGGAAAAGAAATATTCATGTGAAATTTTTAATGTAAAACTAAAATATGGAATATATTTTTATATGCTTTTAGTGAAATGAACTCTGCCTATAATCTGCCTTGCTTCATGAAGAGCACTTTGGTTTTCTATCTCTAATAATACAAATATCTCTTTGAAGACTGAATATATTAAAACCAGATTAACTGAAAGAAATCACTTAGTTACACTATCACACCTTACTATTACACGATCAGTTACATTATGTACTAGACCTTCTGACCGGGGCTAGAGTTAGCATGTAACAAGCTGAATTTCTACAATTTGTACAATAAGTACTGTTCTCCTAGAGAATTTGGAAAAGGGTCCCACTGTGGGGTGAAAAATTAACCCTTAAGAACAGATTCAAATGGCTAATAGTCATCAAACATATCTAATCATGTTGCAAAGACTTAAGAGCTATGTAGAAGGCTTTATAGGTATTAAATGTATTTTTTTTTTTAAGGTATTAGCTTTAGTTAAATCTTTTAGTACAGGGTCTACAGGGTCTCACTATACAGGTCGGATTTGTAGCGATCCTCCTATTTTCAGCCTCCCAAGCACTGAGATTGGAAGGGGTGTGCCAGCACCCTCACTCTCAACTGCCATCTCACTGTGCCTGGGCTGCGGTAAGGTGGGGCCAGCACAGCTCACCAGGGATGGAACCCCAGTTCCTGTATCTACCTAAGCAAGCACTTTAATCCACTGACCTATCTGGCCTGCCCTTAGTTTTAGTTAAATCTTAAAAAAAAAAAAAAAAAAGTCTAACGTATAAACACTGTAGAAGAAGCAGTATTAAATCACTCAGAGCTGCTCTGTGCAAAGGATGAAGAAAACTCATGAAGGTTAGTCTTCTCAAAATTGACTATACTGTAAGACCACTAGTATGTACCTTCAGGGATCATTTCTATAGGATGTAAGACCACTAGTATAAACTGGAACCAGAGAGCTCATCCAATTCTATCAACTATAAAGTGATAATAACTTCATTTTTAGGAATGTGGCATGGCAACATGATTTTCAGTTTGGAAAGTACTCCTATTCAAAACAACATGTTTTCAAGAACAAAACTGGCATCATCGTATCCAACGAGCACAGAACAAAGTTTCTTAAGGGGAATTAAATTAGCTCTATTCAGAGGACATTAGAAGACAAGTCTATTTTTATCCTTTCACAAAACCTCAGCTGCATAAATAAGGAAGCCCTTGGTCTCCATAAATCCATTATACAATGATTGCCGACCAAGATAAACGTAAGCAGTGTCTCTTCCAGAAAAGTTCTAAAATGAGCTTGATCATTTTAGTCTGACCCATATATTTTGGTAAAGGATGGAAGGACAACTCGAGAAGGTTGTCCCTCCTTGTGGCAAGGGCAGTAACACTCCTTTAGTACCCCTTCCCTCACCGCAGCTTGTCTAAACTGGGGGAGCTCCACACACTTGGAATCAAGAGAGTAGGTTGCATTACTAATTCTGTGCTTTTTTTTTTCCTTTCCTGTGCAACCACAGAGGCATAAGGTCCCGAGAAACTTTATTTTCCCTCTCGGCCAAATGCAATGGACTTTGGCATCACTCTTAGCACAGATGAGGGAACTAAGGTGCAAGAGAGGAGAAAAGACTTGTCCAAACAGCCCACAGTAAAAGCAGAATTTGAACTAGGGTCCCCTAAGCCCTCAATTACCAACCACTCGGCTTCCTCGGAAGGAAATAAATGAACCAACCACAACATCCAACGATCATTGCACCCAGAAATTCCCAAGGATCAGAGGCGAGTGACTTGGACTAGGTGGACGTGAAGAGCCGGGCGGCGGCCCCCAATCCCAAGAGTCCCTAAATCCTTCATCCCAGGGCCTACGCTCAGACAGCGCGCGAACCGCAGACCGCCGCTCGGCCGGTGCAGCCCCGCCGGGCTGTCGCGAGCGACGAGGGAGCAGAGGGGCGCACGCGCCCCCGACTCACCTGTCAGCCGGGCCGCGTCAGCGGCGCACGCGCAGGGCCGGCGGTCGCCAGCGGGGTCCGCCCGCCGGTCCCACTCTCCTCTGCCAGGGGATCGCCTTCAGTTCTGGACCAGACCTCGAGCCGGCCAGACCCAGTTTCCGCCTAGCCTCCCTGCCCTCACGTGACCAAAGAGGGCGCTGCGGGGCGGGAGTCACATGACTTCCTGCGGGCGACGGCTGATGACGCAAGAGCCCGCGCTGCGTAGCGGCGCGGCTCCTGGAGCCGAGGAAAGCGAACGGGAGCCTGAGGAGCTAAGTAGGGGCGCGCCGCGCGGAGACGGGTTGCGCGTACAGGTAAGGCGGGGGCGGGAGGTGGCTCTTGGGGGGCGTGGCGGGGTGGCCGCCTTCTCCCGAGGCGCCTTCGGCTAAGTCGGTGCCAGCTGGCTGTAGATAAACTCTCAGGAGCCCAGTTTCCTTTTCGCTCTTGTACATGGACCCGGGGATCAGTACTGGTGAGAAGGAAGCCTTCCAGGCTGAAGGAGGGGCACATGGAGGCCACACTTGCGATGGGCTTTAGACGCACACGTGTGTGCGAGTACGTGTTAGAGTGGTGGCGTGAAGGAAGCAGCGAGCGTGAGTGAGTGACGGCGTCAGAGAGAAGCATGCGTTCTGGCCCGTGGAGAAGGGAGATTAAGCTCTGGCTGGATTTATAGCATGGATTTGAAGGAGGTCAGCGCATTGGCTGGAAAGTGTTTATCGTGTGCCGGTCGTGCTGCTGTACAGAAGCACAAGAAGGTGCAAGTAGACAAGTATTTTTATACTTTTATTGATAATTAGGTCTGTCTCCAGAGAATCTTACAGACTTGTCAGGGAAAGCAAAATAACGCGCTAGAGAAGAACTCAGGAAATGTGTGACTTGGTAGTGATTAAAGTGGAGATTCCAGATAGGGAAAATAAAGATCAATGTTACCCGGTGAATGACCCAACTTGAGGTTAATTAGAATCAATGTTTCTCAACTAATGCATCGTTTGCTTGTTTATTTACTTATCTGGTACAGGGTCTCACTACGCAGCTCGGACTCATAGTGATCTTCCTGTCTCAGCCTCTTCAGTGCTAGGACTACAGGCGTGCAACAACACGACCAGCCAGAGTGCCAGAGATCGACGCTTAGACAGTCAACCTGTCTCCCCAGCCTACTGATGGATTGTTGACTTTTTGATCTGGCTACGTTTTTGTAGTTAAGGCAGTTCTGTGCATCGTGGGCTGTTTACTAGTAGCCTCTGCCACCTAGAAGCTAGTAGGTACTCCCTGTTGAATCCCATGGAAAAATGTCTCCAGATGTCGTTACAGTCATCTGGGGGATGGGATACAATCTCCTTAATTAAGGATCTTTTGAAACCACGATGGAAGGGTCTTCATCTGTTTCGATGGCTATAACAAAATATTGTGATCTGGATAGTGTATAAACTATAGACATTTGTGTATTATAATTTTGAAATCTGTGAAGTTCAAGATCAAGGTGCTAGCAAATTTGGTGTCTTGTGAGAGCCTATATTCTGATTCATAGGTGAGTTCTTGCTGTGTCTTCACTTGGATGAGTGCGTGGATTAACTAATGGTAAACTCAGATAAACTTAGTGCTGGAGGATATTTATTCAGATAGTAATGCTAGCTGCCCTCTGGTACATATTGGTTGTTGGTCTTGGTTTATGCGAATCTTGATATATATATTGTTCAGGCAATTATAACAATATAAATACAACTGGTTTAAATAAAGAAAATTATTTAGCTCTTAAAGCTTCAAGTTTAAGACCAGGTTGCCAGAGATGATTCAGTTCGGGTGAAGACTTTCTTCTTGGCTTGCAGATAGTCGTTTTCTTGCTTAGTCTTCACATAGCAGAAAGGGTGCTGGTGTGTCTGCTTATAAGGGCACTATCCCATCATCTAGCCCTAGTTATTGCTGAAGCCTACGTGTTTAATTCCTGCTGTGTTTGAGATAGGACTTCATCTTAAGAATTTGGCAGAGTTGTATTTGTGTGAGAGGCTGACTGACATTGTCATCTTGCCAGGCCCCTTGCTTGTGTGGTTCTGTGAATCAGAGGAGGTGTCTCATAAAAATAGTTTTCTCAGGCACTCTAACAGGGACCCTGATTTTGTAGGTCTGAGACAGTGCTTAAAAGTATGTATTTGCAGTATTTCAAGTGATTAAGATCAGACAAATTTGAAAACTATAAAATTTAATTTATGCTGTGAAATAGGAAATACTTATGATTAGGCTTTAAATTTTTAAAACAGGAACAAACTGAAGATAGATGAGTTAAACATATGCAGTTTTAAAATGTAATGGGCTGGATGGAATTGCTAGGGATGTGTGTGCAAATTGTTTTCTTAAGCACTATTCTGTACTGCTGTATGTAGTGTGCTATAGATGATGATAATATGCTCAGGATGATAATATTTGCTCTCATTTAAAAGAATTTATAGGCTGGGTTTGATCTTCAGTGTTTTTTTTTTTTTTTTCCGTATGTATTAACTCATTCCTCAAAGGAATCCCTTAGTAGGCACCTGTCTTAGTCTGGTTTTTGTTGCCCTAACAATATGCCCAGGACGGGGACCTTTAAAAGAACAAAGGTTTATTTAGCTTATAGTCAGTAGTTTATGCATGTAAGGCTGACATTTGGTTGGCTCTTGCAAGGACCTCATGGCTAATGACATTAGAATGACAGGAGTGCATGCAGGCAAGGGATTCAAGGAAGATGCTGGGCTCCCTTCTGACAACCCATTCTCACAGAATCTCGTTTGGTTGTGTGATAATTCCATTAATTTCCTCTAAAGCCCATGCCTCCAAAGGCCCCTCAATAGGCCTTGGCTCTTAGAATTGCCTTCTTCTCAGCATCACTGTGGTAGGGACCAAGCTTCCGACGTGTGAGCCCTTAGGGAACACACTCAGACCATATCCATCATGGCACTTATTTTAAACAGAACAAAGGAAACATGGAGAAGTTATGTAATCTGCCTCAGATCATTCAGCCAATAAGTGACAGAACCAGGCTTTGAACTCTGACTCCAGAGGCTGTATCTTTACTCTTTAGTCTCAGCTGCCTTCAAATTCTCTATTATGTAGCCAATATTTATTTTAATATAACCATGTTTCATATTATCTTTTTTTTTTTTT